TTCCCACCCATAAAAGGAGAAGCCGGGACTGAGATTTGGAAATCCCTCCCAGCTTTGATGTTAAATGGTTTTATGATTCTATCAACTCCCTTGCTGCCTGCACTGGAACGCAGCCTTCCTCCCTTCTCTGATTCTCCCCCAAGGCAGACTTATGTAGGCAGGAGGCTGCTGTGGTGGTAGACCACTGTTCTTCCAGCTGTTGGGAGGCTGAGGCAGGAGGATTTTTCATTTGAGACTACTATGGGCTACATATCAACACCTTCTCTCAAATAACCAGATAAAATAATATGTGGAGTTTAAAACAAAAGAGCACCGACAACGAACCTCCAGAAGATGCCTAGCCAGACAGGTCCCTAGTCCCTTCTTGACGTCTTCCGTGAGCCACTCCCTGGTTCTTTTCTGTTGACCCCTTCCCTCTGAAGCCTTTCTCCTAACTTCCCTTTGAGGCCTCTTTCTGCCCCCCACTGGAGCTGCACAGCAGAGGCTTGCCGTCTAAATTCTGCCTAGCAGCTCCGACATCACCATCATCATCCTATGGGCTTCCTGACTGGCTGGTCCCCGAACTCATCTGGCCTTCTGTTTTTCCACAGGGACCTGCTCCGAATTGGAGTCACTCTAGCAGGGCACCAGAAGAAGATCTTGGCCAGTGTGCAGCATATGAAGTCCCAAGCTAAGCCGGGAGCCCCTGGTGGGACAGGAGGAGCAGCCCAACAGTTCTGACCTCCAAGGACTCATCACGCCAGAGCCATGGCCTCCCCTTCTTCCTGGGGCAGGTGGGCGGAGACTCATAGAGATGCCCCTCCCCCATCACAGACTCCCATTGGATTGCACTTTGAACTGAGGGGGCCGGGAGTTGCTAATCTTTGAGATCCAGGATTTGGGGAGCTGTGCCATATGGGATGGTAAGAATCATATGTGTGCCCTCTAGGCAGGGAACCCCAAACTCAGAGTGAGTCTTTCCCTCAAGCCTGGGCAAGGAAACATCCCTCATCCCCCATCTTCCCAGAGGGCTCACTCCCCAAGTGCCTTCCACCTCAGTGGGCATGTCCCTGCAGACCAAAGAGAAAGGGTGACCAGCCTGCCAACTCGGGAGTGGAGAATGTCCCAGGAGGCGGGAGGGGCTGCCAAGACCCAGTGATGTAATCATTGGATTTTGATGTCCCAACTTGCTGCTGTCACCACCAAAGGCAATCATTTCCCCCTTGTAAATGCCCCTCCCCTCATCTGCCTTCATATTGAAGGTTCTGGATTTTTACTATTTTTATCCCCCCCCCCCCGTCCAGATCTTGTGTGTTGAAGGGTACCTGTTTCAGCTCCTTCCTGCTGGGAACATGGACCTATTGATATGTTCTAGAACAGTGCCTTGGAAATGCCACAGCCCAGACAGTTGCTCTCCCCTTCTCTCCCCACAAGTGCCCCCAAGCTGTGTCCATTGGGGGGGCACAAAGGGGGCAGGAGGGTGATGGCATTCAGCAGAGGCAGACTCGGTGCTTGGAAGGGGGTTCTTAAATTATATTTAAAAAGAAACTTTTTTTGTATAAATAAAAGAAAATGGGTTATGTCCCAGTACTGAGGATGATTGGGAGCTGGGATAGACTAGATCTCTGAGAACAGGGACCTTTAAAGGTCTGGATTTGGAGGATCCGGTGAGGTGGGGGATGGTGTGGGGAGGGCTGGGGGCTGGTTCCCAGCCCGGGGGTTAGGTTTGGGTTGGTAGGAGGTGAGTCAATTGGCAGCTGGTGCTAACAGCTCCAGCTTCCCTGCCAGGAGCCTCAGGCACCTCCGGGGTGTGGCTACCACCTCCTGCCCCTCCTGTCTCCTTAGCCCTGGTAGGGGTTGTCTGAGGGAAGCCTGTAACCCACAGCCCTACCCTAGAGGGACCCAGGTGACAGTGTGGTCCCCGCTAGGCGTCTACAGCTGGGGCTGCGTTAGGGGGATGGTGTGGGGAGAGCTGCACTGGCTGTGGGGACGGGGAGATGGGGAGTGGCTGAAAGGGGGCCTCGCATGTGTGTACAGATGCCAGGAGCTCAGGACAATCCCCCATTCAAGATGCTGCCCAGGCAGGTTTTCCTGCCTCTCCTGGGAAGGGAGGGGGAGCCGCTCTAGTGTGTCTAACTTTTCCCTCCCAGACAGGAGGGGGAGGGGGTCCAGACCCCTGGCAGCCTCCACACTTTCCTCCCTGCTGTGTCTTCTTAGCTGCCTCTTCCCAACGGGCTTGACTCCTGATCCTAGTGCTTTCTCTACTGACTCAACTGTGCCACGCCTCACCTCCATATTTTGTAACCCAGGGCTTGCTGTAATGTCCAGGCCAGCCTGGAGCTCACTATCCTCCTGTCTCAGCCTCTGGAGTGCTAGGGTCATAGGCATGGAATCACTAAGTCCTTTGTCTCCTCTCTCCCTGGGTGACATTTAATATCCCTGGCCCTGGTGGGGGGGAGGACGGGACTCAATACTACAAGGAAGGGGCGTGTCACTGGGGACACTGTCCAGCCAACTGCCTTTCGCTGCCAAACAGACATCCTGGCTAGATAGTGACCTTCAGAGAGCTGCCATGGGAAGAATGAAGCTCTGCAAAGATGGGGGGACGGGGGAGGGAAGATCCCCCGGGCTCAGGGCAGGAGGCTGCCCTGCAGAGGCGCGCTAGCCTTCCTGTGGACGGGTTCCTCCTTTCCTACCCTTCGCTTATTTACACTGGCTTTTGGCTGGCCTCAGGAAAGTCTCCGAGGTTTGTCACATTGATGACGCCTCCCAGTGCATGTCTCTGCTAAGACCCCCGCCCCCCACACCCCCACCTCCTGAGGTCCCGCATCCATCCATCACCTGGTTGCCTTTTCTTCATTCGAGCCTAGATTTTGCCCAAGCCGGGAGTAACCCAGAAGGAGACGCAGACTCAAGGTGCAAAATACACACCTTGGCCTCCTCGGGTTGCTTAGGTGCTCACTTCCACCTGCGTTGCTGAAACAGCTCCAAAGCCTGCAACCCCACCCAGTTTCCATAGTAACCAAGCGAAGGGCTCTTGGGAGAAGTGGAGGAATGAAGAGAAGGCCAATTAGAAACAAAACCTAGAAGGACCTTGCTTCCCCCTGGTGGAGGCACTCAGGTGCCACTGTGGGCCTGGGCTCCTAGACCTGTGCAGTCGTAGGAAGCCCCGAGCCCCATGAGTGCAAGGCCAGCTAGGGTTATAGAGAAAGTTTGAAGCCCCCTTAAAAAATAACGGGGTGGGCACAACAGGTGCTTGCTGCCAAACCTGACCCGAGTTTGGCCCTGGACCCCACATAGTAAAGAGAGAACTGACCTCTAGCTGTCTTCTGGCCTCCACATTTGTGTGTGAGCATAGTTAAGAATAAAACAATAAACCCCTGGAGTGCTGGAGAGATGGCTCAGTTGGTGACCGGAGTGTTCTTCCTGTGGCCTGACGTCGTGACACACACTAGAACGGCGGTGGAGGTGTGGGAGGCAGGCAGGTGCGTACGCGGAAGCTGACTGGCTTCTGTCTCTAATAGAAGGCGGAGGGGCCTGAGGGATGGAGGCAGGAGTCGCCCTCTGGCCGCCCACTAGGTCGTGGGTGTGCGGCTCCTGCATGGCACGCCTAGCTGGCACGCCCTACTTTGGAGAGAAGCTTGTTAGGGCTCAGGGTGTTGGATCGCAGGGATGGCTCCACGCTTAACAGCACTTACTGCTCTCCGAGGGGACCCAAGTTAGGTTCCCAGCACCCCCAGCTCACGGCCACCTGCGACTCCAGCTCCAAAGAGTTCAACGCCCTCGCCTGGTGTTTATGAGCACACACATGGCAGACATTGTCTCTTACACACGCACATACGCATGCACACACATGAAATAAATAAAGCTCTGACTCTGTACTAAGGGAAGCTGCTGAAGGTCCGGAAGTGAGCGATTCAGGATGTCCCTGAAGCTGACCAAATGCACTAGGCCCCTCCTTCCCAAGCCTGTGTCTAAAGCTGGGGCCGCTAAGAACACTGCCAGACAACCTGAGGAGAGACACCCTCCAGCCTGCCACGCTGCCTGGAAGCTGTGCAGCGAGCAGCATGCTCCAGGTTCATGAGTCACAGCTACCGCAGTCATTTCCGCTGCTCACCCCTCACCCCTACCCCTGCATGAGTGCAGCGCGTTGGACTGCACTGGTGTCCCACTTTGGTCCATTGTTGGTTCCCTATCTGAGACGAGCAGAGGTCTGTTCACATCTTTGCAGGAATGGTGTCACACAACAGCACCTGTGCATGCACAAACACACGTAAACACACACACACTTTTTAAAATGGGGGTTTCTGGGGTAAAGAACGTGCATGATTGGCACTGGAAAATGGCTCAGACTGTAGAGTGCTTGCCTAGCATTCATAAAACCCCGGGCATAAACTAAGTGTAGTGATATATGCCTGTAATCTCAACAGGTAAAGGCAGGAGGATCGGGAGTTCAAAAGTCACCCTGTTATATAGTGATTTCTCACAAATAAACAAATAAAGGATTGCACAGAAGATCTTTTCTCCTGTCTTGCAGAAGCTCATTCTTCCTTCTGGAAGTTTCCCTCTCTGCCCCTTCTGTCGTCCATTGCTAGCAACTTACCAGGACTGAATGGGCCACCTGACAGGCTCTCAATGAGTGACATTCTCCTTACTGAGGTTCCCTCCCCATGGACATCTCCCCGCCGCCACACCTGCACAGCACCCAGCCTTCAGAGATCCACACACACCTGTCTCCCGTTCCCATTTCTCTTCGTCTCCCAGACTAACCATCTCCACCACAATCAAGGGGAAATTCATATCTAAAAGCATTCAGCATGGGGCTAGCAAGGTATCTCATGGAGAAGTGTTTGCTGTGTAGCCTGAACGCCTGAGTTTGATCCCCACATCCCACAGAGCAAAAGGAGAGAACTGACTCCCACGAATTTCCAACCTCCAGACAAGCAAATGGCAGGTGCGCGCATACCCACCCATATACACACATGTAACACACGACCACACAACAACATGTAAAAAAAGTATTTAAAAAAATAAATTATTTTTATCTATTTGTTTGAGGACAAGTCAGAACTCGGCAGCTTTGAAGGAAGGCTCTGGAGCATCTGAGGAGAGAGCAAGGAAACCCACATTGGAGGAGGACTCACCTCTTGGCCAGGACTTGCACGCCCCCAGGCCGGGCTGGTTCTCACCTGTTTCTTCCAGACTATGTCTATTTTGTCCCAACAGTTTCTCCCTAGAGGTGGTGGGGGATCAGATGAGGAGCACAGCTTTTGTGTGCGTTAGGTCCCACCCATCGACTGCCCTGTCACCCCCACACCGGGGACTTACCCCCTCCTCCTCCTCGCCAAGGCAGTTCTCGTCGTCATGTAAACATATACTCTGGGCAGTAATACAGGGACTAACACCATCACGAGCACCCCTGGCAGGATGGCCATTAAGCTGGGTGATTCTGAGGGCAGAAAGGAACAGCAATGGGGCTGTGAGTAGGCACAGTGGGTTAGAGGGTCGGCCTTGCAAGCCAGGTCCCCAGAGCCCGTGTGAAAGTGGTGGTGCTGCCCCCAACACCAGCCCTAAATTAGGGTGAGGACAAGTGGATCCCTGGACACTGGTAAAGTGCCAGGGCAGCGAGGCTATGGGGACCGTGTGTGTGTGTGTGTGTGTGTGTGTGTGTGTGTGTGTGTGTGTGTGTGTGCGCGCGCGCGCACGCGCGTGCCCGTGTGAGCATGTGTGCCCACATGCATGTGCTAGCATGCACTTGTGGAGGTCAGAGGATAACCTGTAAGAGTTAGTTCTCTTCTACCATGTTGGGATCAAATTCAGGAGGCAGGTTGGAGCCAGCCATGTTTGCCCACTGAACCATCTCACCAGGCCCGGTAAGCCCTTAGACAAGACACGCACCCAAGGTTGCCCTCTGACCTGCACGCACACACCGCGCTTGTGCGTACTCCCACCCCCACCTGTACCCAACAGGGACAGGCGGGAGACCGAGGGCCCTGAGCTGCCAGCTTAGGGCATCTGGTCCTCCTACATCTCTTGGTCCTCCCTCCAGGAGGCCCTGGGCCCTCACCCAGGAGCCCTTCCTTTTTGCAGTCACAGCTCCCATAAGACTCTCCAGGGGTTCTTCACACCAGGTTTGACATCGGGGCCACTCTCCCTCCCTGCCCTCTGCATCTTCTGAGGTGGGACTTCACTCTAGCCTAGGCTGTCCTGGAGCTCACTATGCAGCCCAGCAGGCTGACCTTGAACTCAAGGGGATCCTCCTGCCTCACTGCCACCCTTTCTAGTTTTCTGTAACACAGTCTGTGTAATCCAGGCTGGCCGGAAATTCTCAGGCCCCTGCCTCACCCTCTTGCCGTGCTGGGATTACAGGCATTTACCATCACTCCCAGTTGACGCCACGCTGAGCATTGAACCCAGGCCTTCATGTGCACTACGTCAGCGAGTGAGCCACAGACTCCAGTCCTCTGCCCCTACTTCCCACCCCAGAAACACTTCCAGCCTAGAAGCTTGTTGGGGACGCAGAAGTCCATGCCCACTGGACCTGAGCCTCTTGGGGAAATGCTGATAAGGACGTGTTAAACAGGTTATGCCCTCCCAAGCATAGACTTGGAAAAACAATGGCCCAGAGGTGCAACAGAATCCCAGTTTGGGGCAGGGGACAGCAGAGGGTGGAGAGGGACTGAGCAGGGGCAGCACGGGTGAGCAGTGGAAGCTCAGCCAGTCAGGAAGGCAAAGGCACGCTAGCGTGCTAACAGCCCCAGGACATGCAGGAGGAAGTAGGAGCTTCAGAAAAGCTCCAGGTCATTTTCGGCAAAACAGTGAGGTCAAAGCCATCGGGGCTGCATGACACCATGTTCCAAGCACATTAATTGAAAGGAGCCAATAAACAAGACAGGGAGGGACTGGGGAGACAGCTCAGTGGGTAGTGTGCTTGTCTTGAAAGAACAAGGAGCCAGGTTTGATTCCAGAGCCCACATGACAACCTCGGTGTGCACTTGCAACCCTAGTGCTGGGGAAGAGGAGAAAGGCAGACTTGGGGTCACTAGCCATCACCCTATGCCCTGTGACCAGTTCCAGCCTCAAAAAAAAAGTGGATTGTGCTTAAAGAATACCATCAGGGGGTGTCCCTTGGCCTCCTCATTTATGTATAAACACAGTAACTGGCATCTGCTCCTATACGCACGCACTAGGGCGCAGCAAGATCACAGTGTATTCCTCTAGGAGACGAACGAAAGACAGGTGGAGGACTACTGTCTTGCTGATCCGTGGGGATCTCACAGTGACATGATTCCTATTTAGTTTCATATGTAATATGTTGTTATTTAGGGTTTTCTTAATGAGATAGGTTTCATATAACCAGGCTAGCCTCAAACTCACTATGCAGCTGAGGATGACCTTGAACTCCTGATCTTCTTGTCTTCACTTCCAACATGCTAGGGTTACAGACCTGTGCCGCCATGCCCGAATATCATATACGTGTTATGTGGTGTATAGCACATGAACTGGAGAGACAGCTGGGTAGGCTAAGGTGCTTGGCACTAGGCCTAGAGACCGGAGTTGGATCCCAGAGTTTCACATAGCAGAAGGAGATAGATGACTCCCTTGGGTTGTCCTCTGAAACCCACACATTCACCCCACCCCAACAAATAAATATAATCTCTCATATATATAATACAATATCATATGAATTATATTCTATAATTGATAGTATATCTAAAATATACAGCATAACATAATTTATATATTATAATTTAACATATATTATCAATATACAATACACCCAAAATATTTATATAGAACTATAAACTATATATGTGTGATATGTAATTGCACATTTTATATCATCTATAGTATATAGTGCACAATGTTGCCTATGATATATTACTTATTATACTATATGAATATATTGTGATATATTGTCACCCCTATTATATATCTGTGATATATATATATAGATATATACATATATAGATATGTGATTATAATGTGTATGAAAATTAAAAACAGAGTAATTCTGTGGCAGTGGCCAGTGGGACACAGGCCTGGGGTGTGGCTGTTACCTAGCTTTTTTCTGGATGGGATATCCCGTGGTTCTGTGCAGAATTCTCCTCCATAGCCAAGGTCACAATGGCAGATGAAGGTGGCCCCCTGCTCCTGACAGCGGCCATCATTGTGGCAGGGGTTATGTAGACACGGGCTATCTGCAAGGGCAGAAGGGTGTGAGTGGGTCCCAAGAGGACATTCATAGTGCACGAGAGGGCGTGGGAGGGGCCCGGGGAGAGCATCAGTCGTCACCAAAGCCTGGCCTGGCACTCTGACCCTGCTACCCTGGGTTTAGAATTTGTTCAACCCTCTAAACCCCCCCTCTGTGTGTGTGTGTGTGTGTGTGTGTGTGTGTGTGTGTGTGTGAAGGTCCGTCAACTTCAGGAGTCATTCTTCAGTTGCTGTCTACTTTGTTTGTTTTAGACACAGGGCCTCTCATAAGCCCAGAGCTCACTGTTAGTCTAGGCTGAAAGCCCCACAGCCCTAGAGACCCATTTTATATGCATGTATGAGTGCCTGCTCCATGTATGTGTGTCTGTGCCGTCAGACGCCAGAACTGGAGTTACAGGCAGTTGGGCGGGGCCCTGTGGGTGCTGGGAACTGAACCTGGGTCCTCCTCAAGAACAGCCAGTGCTCTTAACCACTGAGCCATCTCTCTAACTGTGATTGACTTTTTAAACATGGGTACTAGAGATCCAACTCAGGTCTCTACATTTGTCAGGATGCACTTTACAAACTGGGCTGTTTTTCCAGCCCTGGAACCCCTCCCTTTCTTTTGAGAGAGAGAGATGGGGGTCTCACTATGTAGTCCTGGATGTCCTGGAACTCACTGTAGACCAGGCTGGCCTCACACTCACAGAGATCTGCCTGCCTCTGTCTCCTGAGTGCTGGGATTGAGGTGTGCACCACTGCGCTTGGCTGGAACCCTGTTTACATTGCTCATAAAATGGGGTATTGTGCTTTCCACTAGGTAAAGGTTAAAGTCTATCCTGAGGCAGACAGAGCTCTGCATGGTTCTTTTCCTTCAACCCTTCCTACAAAAGAATCCCACTCAGGCAGGGCATAGGGAGGGAGGGTATCCCTGGTGTTAAGACACCAGAAAGACCCAGGCTCACCCCGGAAGCAGCCTCGAGTAAAGTTGGCCACGGTGCAGGACTCTCCAGCTCTGCAGCCGTAGGGCTCACACAGCAGGACCCCCTGGCTGGCACAGGTGCAGCGCTGGGAGCAGTCATCAGTTACAAAGCTGTCATCCAGCTGGAAAAGAGCAGGTGAAGACACGGAACGTTCTAGATTCATCCTAGAGCCCATTCTCTGTACCTGGATTGCCAGGCCTCCACGCCACCCAGACCTTGTAGTAGATGCCGTTGGTAGTGCAGCCGCAGCGAGTCACTGGAAGGCTCTGGGTGTCACTGTAGATGTAGCCTGGGATGCTGGCACAGCCTTCCACACAGGGACCATCACACACCTTGGGGGTCACAAATTTGGCACAGGACGCTGGGCAGGGCGTCATACAGCTCTGGTACACAGTATTGGCAGGACATGTCATGGCTGAGAGGATACAAGCATAGTTAGGAGCTGGCTGGCCTTGGGGCCAAACAAAGGGCTGAGCGGGCAGGAAACGGAGTGGGGTGTAAGGCCATCCAACAGAGCGCAGAGCTCCCTGTAGACAGCCAGCCCAGGGCAAGCAGGCCAGGTCTGCCTGAGGACTTCTGTCTGGGAAACAAGATGTCTGATGAAAACAGATGGGCAGTGGGTATGGTAGCACACACCTGGAATCCCAGCACTCAGGAGCTGAGGCAGAAGGCTCACCATGAGTTTGAGGCCAGCATGGGCTACAGAGCGAGATTTTTTCCTCAAAAACCAAAAACAGGGGCTGAAAAAATGGCTCAGCAGTTAGGAGCACTCACAGAGGATTGTTCCCGGCTCTGCTCCCAGTGCCCACATGGTGGTTCACAACCATCTGTAACTCCAGTTCCAGGGGCCTGACACCTGCTGCGAGCCTCTGTGGGCACCAGCATGCATAGAATGCAGGCAGGCAAAGCACTCATACATATACATCAAACAGACGTGAGCAAAATCTGTGGAACACCCACCACAGAACATAAGCATGGAGCTGAGGGGTGACAGAAATGACAGGGACAGCCAGTGTGGGGAATGTGCTTGTCACCCCAGTTCTGGTGAGGCAGAGACCTGAGGACACTTGGGCTTGTTAGGCAGCTAGCTGTCACCAGGGTTCTCTGCTCTGGCATCCACACACACGAATCCAAACACACACGGGTGCACACACGAATCCAAACACACACGGGTGCACACATACACACATACAGAGAAATAGAGGAAGAGAAAACCCAACAACAGAAAGCATGGGCAGAGAGGAGGAGGAATGGGGTTGGGCAGTGGAGGAGCAGGCAGGAGAGGCGTCAGTCTGGAGTCACTTTGCTGCCTTGAACTTGGGAGAGAAGAATCAGGCTGGAAGGCCATGGCGAGGGTGGAGGCAGCACAGCAGCAGAACTGAGCGGAGGTAGAGTCAGAGCCTCACCACAGCGCGTCTGGTCCCGCCAGCCAGTCATGTTGGCACCTGCCTCCTGGCACAGGACGGCATAGCCACTGAGGACCCGGCATCGAAGCTCTTCTTTCTCTTTGGTTTTCCAAGCAGAGCACATGTCAGACATACAGTGCCTGGGGCAGAAAGGGAGGGTGGGTGGAGTAGGTGTGATGTTAGAGGCAGGAAGCAAAGAGGTCGGGCCTTGCTGGAAAAGGGCCCAGGGTGAGGGGCTGCGGGATGGGGGCGTGGCTAAACTGACAGAGGCTTGCCTGGCAAGAATAAGGAGCTGTTTGATTTCTGGTACCCATGTTAAAAGCAAGCATGGCGTGGTGATGTGTTTGGAATCCCAGAGCTGGTGAAGGGGAGACAGGAGGGTCCTCGAGGCTCACTGGCCAGCCAGCTTAGCCTACTCAGTAAGCATTAGGCTTACGCTGGAAACCTTGCCTCAGAAAACAAGGTGAAGCTGGGGAAATGCTCACTGGGAAAAAGCACCTGCTGCTCAAGTATGAGGAACTGAGTTGGAATCCCCACACATGCCTGTAATCCCAGCTTTGTGGGGAGTAAAGACTCTCTCACAGTCCAGCCAAAAAAACAAAAACAAAAACAAAACAAAACAAAAAAAACGAGCTGAAGGTTCAGTGTGAGACCCTGTATCTAAGGAATAAGGCAAGACACCAGATTTTCAATAACACCCCGACAACACATACCCATCTCCACACTCACACAAAAGCAAAGACAGGAAACAGAAACCAAGGAGGATGCCCCTGACCTATATAAACATACACGACATGCACACTGAGCACGCGTGCACACGCACCCTCCTGAAAACGCTCTCAAATAAATGCGCAAACAGAAGCCGAGGTGCAGCCGAGTTGGCAGAGTGTTTGCTCAGCATGCATGGAGCCCTGGGTTCATCCCCTGTACCACACAAGCAAGGCATGGTGCCCCATGCCTATCATCCCAGCACTTGAGAGGTGGAGGCAGAAGAATCAGAAATTCAAGGTCATCTTTAGGTATGTTAGCCTGGGCTACACGAGACCTAAATAAATACAGAATAAGATAGATTAAAACTAAACTAGTGAAGAAGGGCCCAGAGCCCCACACAGAAAGTCGGCAGGCTAGAGGGACAGCTTGGGGATAAGGCATGTGATCATAGAAAGACAGGCTGTAGAATGGGGGGTCAGTAGGAAACGAGGTCACAAGGGAGAACCAAGCCCACAGAGCTAGTGGGGTCAGAGAGGAAAACCACAGCAGGAATCTGGAACATTCTCGTAAGCACTGGGCCTGTGACTCACTGCTCAAAGGGATGTGGGGCTACAATCTGGTGACAGGCAGCAAAGGGGCCCTGGGGGTCCATCAGCACCCTACAGGCCTGGGTGCTGCTGAGGAGCGCGGTCTGCTCCGGACTGCACTCTGACGGCGGAAGCTCGGGCTCTTCCTCTCCTCCATCTTCTTCTGGCAGGGCCCTGAAGTAGGGATGGCAAGGGGCTGCTTGAGGCTCGGGAGATGAACTTAAGGAGAAAAAACAAGTCTGCAGAAAGGTGAAAGGAAGGACAAGGGCACCATGGGGATTTCTAATGAGCACCTCTCAGCGAGAGACCAAGTGACAGAAGGTGCCTCTGTGCTGAGGACCAGAGGGTTAAGACAGTGGAAACGAGACTGGCTGGGTAGGACATACCCGTCTCAGAGGGACAGCACCTGCCTAGAATCCCCCAGTGAGGGGCTGGGGTGTGACTCAGTGGTAGAACACCTGCCTAGAATCCCCCAGTGAGGGGCTGGGGCGTGGCTCAGTGGTAGAGCTCCTGCCTAGAATCCCCCAGTGAGGGGCTGGGATGTGGCTCAGTGATAAGAAGATTTGACTTTAATTCTCAGTAAAGAGTGAGGAATGTGGCTCATATTACATGTATAAGGTCATAGGTTCAATCCTCTGCCCTCCAACAAAGAGACTCTTAGTCATCTCCCTAACCTTCAGCCCTCACCTTGGCGATCGGAAGAGGGCATCTACCATCTTCACCTCCCAGCTGTTGCCAAAGGCATTGAGGTTGGAGGTGAGCATTCCATTGGGCAACATGAAATCATTGGCTTGGTCCTTGTCATAGTTTCCACACAGACCCCGTATCAGTCCTCGGTACATGGTAGGCAAGGAGATCACTGCCGGGAGGAAGGACACTCCCTGTAGCCTGTAGTGAGCCCACTTCTGTCCCCCCACCATAACCCAGTCTCCCTCTCAGGCTGGGGGCTCTATCCCCACGTATAACTCACTGAAATGTGCCTTGCCCCCCTCCATCCCAGAAATGGGTTCCTGTTTATTGGTTTTATTGTTCTATTTTCATTTTTGAGACAGGGTCTCATATAGCCCAAGCTAAACTCAAACCGGCTGTGCAGCTGAGGCTGGCTTTTCCGGATCCTCCTGCCTCTTCCTTCCGATGCTAAGATTGCAGGTGAGCTCCATCACACCCTGCACTGTCGCGTTGTTTGTTTGGGTTTTCTTTTTTCTTTTTTTGTTTGTTGTTTTTCGAGACAGGGTTTTATCTGTGTAACAGCCCTGGCTGTCTTGGAACTAGTTCTGTAGACCAGGCTGGCCTACAACTCACAGAGGCCCACCTGCCTCTGCCTTCTGAGTGCTGGGATTAAAGGCGTGCGCCACCACCACCTGGCTTGATTGGGTTTCTTTGAGACAGAATCTCAGTACAGGCCTTGGGTAGCCTGGAACTCACTCTGTAGACCAAGTGGGCCCACCTCATGGAAGACCCTCCTGCTGCTGGCTCCCGAGGGTTGGGGTTACACGTGTGAGCTAGCGCCCTGGGTCAGAGCCCAGGCTTCTGCTGTCGGTGGCCGTCTCAGGTACCTGTGCTATGCTTTCCATCGAAGTCCACCACCATTTCAAAGTCAGTGACGAGAAGCAGCCGCTGTGCCCGTAAGATGACCCGCAGGTGGTCGTTCGGACTGTAAGGGACCGCCACCTTTTGATCGTTGACCTTGAAATGGAAGACTGCAGCTGCATAGCATGCTCAGTGGGCCACACTCTCTGCTGCTGTGCTGTGCGCCTGGCTTTTCTCATCACCCACCATGATATTCTAGAGTCTTCTTTACCCCCAGTGCCAGAGACTTCCCTTCATACCCCAGGGTCTTCTTTGCAAAAACTCAGAAATTCAGACAGATGGTTCAGTGGTAGAGGCACTTGCCACCATTCTGGAGGACCTGAGTTCGATTTCCAGGACCCGTATGGGGGACACAGAGAACTGACTCCTCCAAGCTGTCTAATGACCTCCAAACAGGCACCACAGCCCATGCATGTGCACACAACAAACACATGTGGCAGAGAGACGGCCCATTGTTTGACCATGGTTGCTGCTCCTCCAGCAGACCTGCATGTGGTTCCCAGATTCCTTGCTGGACAGCTCACAACTACCTATAACTCTAGCTCCAGGGTACATGACACCTTCTGGCCTCTGTGGTACTCATGCGTATGTGGGATATACTTACACAGACACACATAAACAGATACACACACAAATACTAAAAGACTAGATGAGCATAAAGGAAGTTGGTTTTGAGCATCACTGTGGGTGCTCCGCTGGTACGTGTGAGGCCCTGCACTCCCCTCTGCCCCACTGCCCTTGCTATCTTCCTCCACTAAGCGACACCGACTCTGACTTCTGAACGCCATCTGCATCCCTGCAAACTCCCTGGCAGCCGGCACTCTGGCTTTGCCAACTCCAGGTGGCCTACAACAGTCTCTCTAGGTTCCTTCAGGTCTGGTTCTGCCCCTTACTCACCAAAACCACCAGCTCTTCTTTGAGCTGGATTTTATAACCATAGACGAAGATGGTCATCTCATGCAAGGCTGGACTCCCTTTGGAGGATATCTTGTTGCGCCCCTCCGCGACCAGTTGCTGGACGCCCTCTGGGAGCTCGTCCACTGTCTTAATGAGATAGTAGTTCATCCGGCCCGGGAAGCGGTAGGTGAAGCCATCAAAAGTATGGTAGTAGGGATCCCCGAAGATGGAACATTTTTCCAATTCTGTCAAGAAATGTGAACGCCGAAAAGGACCTCAGCCCAGTTACTGGTCTCCTAGGACCTCTCCCCAGCTCCGGTGTTTCTGATCACCCCCTCTTAGGCCAGGGCTCCGCCTCAGGGTTCTTCCAGCCACCAGGGCACCCTCTCCCTCTCCCTCCCTTACTATTGGCGGCACAGTTACTGCTGCCGTCGTCGCTGTGCTGGCAGTGGGACCCCGTGGGGCAGATGAAGTTCCGGCACCGAACAGCGCCGTCCTCACAGGCGCAGCTCTGGGTGCAGCCACTGGAGATCCAGGTCTTGCCTGCCTGCAGAAGCCGCGGGAGGAGAAGGGAGTGAGGGAGAGGGGGCGTTTGAAGAGAAAGGCTTGACTTCCTGTGTGGATGGCTTACATCCGCCTGCCCCAAGTCTATTAAGTCAACCAGCTATGGATGAAAATATGTGAAAAGCTGCCCCCAGCCTTTATGTGAGGGTTTGTGCCGGGGCTCGTTGCAGCTTGTGATGCTGCATTCGGTTGACATGCCTGGGGGCCTGCTCTTTTCTCAAGGGAAGACGACAAGTAGTGGGGTACTGGAAGCAGGAGAGGGAGGGGAGGATGTGTCAGGAGGTGTTGTGTGAGAGAGAATAAATAAAAATAAGAAATCAGACTACCACATGGTCCAACTATCAAAACAATTGCATCTATGGTTAGGGGTATAGCTAAGTGGTGGAGTATGTGCCTAGAATCCCCCAGTGAGGGGCTGGGGTGTGGCTCAGTGGTAGAACACCTGCCTAGAATCCCCCAGTGAGGGGCCGGGGTGTGGCTCAGTGGTAGAGCTCCTGCCTAGAATCCCCCAGTGAGGGGCTGGAGTATGGATCAGTGTAGAGTTAGTGCCTTGCATGAATGGGGCTCTAAGCTCTATAAAGAAAATCTATGTATTTTATGTCATTATTCCCTAAATAATACAGCAGAACTATTTATGTAACTTTACAGAGTCTTATCACTAGAATACACATAGAATTATTTAAAGCATATTGGAAGTTACTTATTTGTGCGTGAGTGTGTGTGTGCTTGAGTGCATGTGTTTACATGTGTGTGCACACACATACAGACATGAGCATGTAGAAGAGGGTCAAAGGACAAGCTCATTCCTCAGGAACTGTCCACTTTGTTCTTTGAGGCAGGGTCTTTCATTAAGTCTTGAACTTGCCAAGTGGGCTAGGTTGGCTGGCCAGTGAGCCTCAGGGATCTACCTGTTTTCACATCTTCAATGCTGGATTACAAGCAAATACTACTACACCTGACTTTAAAAAAATAGAAAAAAAAAGCATTTATTTTGGCCATAGGATGCCGCAGCATGTGCGTGTGGGGCAGAGGATATTTCTTTCAGGAGCCCATTCTCTCTTCCCACTAGGTGGGCTTTGTGGGAGGTGTGTTTACCTGCCGAGACACCTCCTGGCCCTCCCCTGACAGCCTCATGTGCAAGACAAACACTTCCGGACTGAGCTGTCTGCCCAGCTGTGTGTTTGTTTAAAGAGCTTGCTTGGAGGTTCTAGGAGGGAAGCCTCCTCAACCACGTGGCGGTTTCGAGGGGAACACATGTGGGGTTGTGAGGAGGAAGGAGAACCCTGCTTAGCCACATTACCCACATCAACCCTGGGAACCAAGGTGACAGATGCCACAGCCAGACGGCCTTCACAGCCTTCCTTCCTTTCATAGACCAGGCTGGCCTCCAATTCCCTATGTAGCCAAGGAGGGCTTTGAACTTCTGAGCCTTGGGCTTCTGTGTTCCTGGTGCTAGGAAGACAGGTGTGCACCCCACTCCTGCTTCAAGTGCTGCTGGGGATGGAACCCAGGGCTCTGTGTGCCAAGCCCTCTGCACACTAAGCTGCACTCCCAGGCCCGCATCATTTCTATAAGGGCTTGGACATCTGTATACGTGGGCATCTTCAGGGTGTTCTGGAACCAAGAACATAATTCCTGCGGATGCCCAGGAACTGGTGCGATTGGCCTTCTCCAGAAGACAGCTGCAGTGCCGTTTGCACCTTGGTACCACGCATTCCTCCTTCTCAAGACACTGTTCTTGGCCTTCTGCCAGGATTAGTAGAGATAAGGTCTTAGGTAGCTTAGGCAGCCTCAGACTCATCATGCATCTGAGGATAGCCCTCAACTTCTGGTCTTCCTGTCCCTAGCTCCTAAGTGGTTGGATTCGAGGTATGCACCACAGCACACAGCTTGTTCCTGGTGTCTTAAATACACGGCTTAGGAGGGGCTATATGCAGATAAGGAAATGGAGCAGCAGGGTTCTTCCTGTCCACCCTGGTGCTTCAGTTGTGGGGACTCCCTGACACGACCCCCAGTCTATGAGGGCTGGGGACGTGGCTCCATTGGTGGAGTACTTGTCTGTGGTGCACAGAGCCCTGGGTTCCACCCCAGCACCACATGACCCAGGCACAGTGGGACAGTCTGTTAACCCCGCACTCAGGAAGTCAAAGCAGGACGAGCATGAATTCAAGGTTCTCTTCCTCTATGCAGTGAGTTTGAGACAGCCTGCTATATGAGTCCTTGTCTTTGAAAAACAATAAAAAGAAAACTCAATCTGCAGCCTACCAGCCTTCACACTCCAGAGCCAGCCTTATAAACAGAGCATCCAAGGCTGAGAAAGGCAGAGGGGCCACCCACCCACTCTCTACCCCACTGTCACCCCACTCTCTACCCCACTGTCACCCCACTGTCACCCCACTGTCACCCCACTGTCACCCCACTCTCTACCCCACTGTCACCCCACTGTCACCCGACTGTCACCCCACTGTCACCCCACTCTCTACCCCACTGTCACCCCACTGTCACCCCACTCTCTACCCCACTGTCACCCCACTCTCTACCCCACTGTCACCCCACTCTCTACCCCACTGTCACCCCACTCTCTACCCCACTCTCTACCCCACTGTCACCCCACCTCTACCCCACTGTCACCCCACTGTCACCCCACTCTCTACCCTACTGTCACCCCACTGTCACCCCACTCTCTACCCCACTGTCACCTCACTCTCTACCCCACTGTCACCCCACTCTCTACCCCACTGTCACCCCACTCTCTACCCCACTGTCACCCCACTCTCTACCCCACTGTCACCCCACTCTCTACCCCACTCTCTACCCCACTGTCACCCCACTCTCTACCCCACTCTCTACCCCACTGTCTATCCCACTGTCACCCCACTGTCACCCCACTCTCTACCCCACTGTCACCCCACTCTCTACCCCACTGTCACCCCACTCTCTACCCCACTGTCACCCCACTGTCACCCCACTCTCTACCCCACTCTCTACCCCACTGTCACCCCACCTCTACCCCACTGTCACCCCACTGTCACCCCACTCTCTACCCTACTGTCACCCCACTGTCACCCCACTCTCTACCCCACTGTCACCTCACTCTCTACCCCACTGTCACCCCACTCTCTACCCCACTGTCACCCCACTCTCTACCCCACTGTCACCCCACTCTCTACCCCACTGTCACCCCACTCTCTACCCCACTCTCTACCCCACTGTCACCCCACTCTCTACCCCACTCTCTACCCCACTGTCTATCCCACTGTCACCCCACTGTCACCCCACTCTCTACCCCACTGTCACCCCACTCTCTACCCCACTGTCACCCCACTCTCTACCCCACTGTCACCCCACTCTCTACCCCACTCTCTACCCCACTGTCACCCCACTGTCTACCCCACTGTCACCCCACTCTCTACCCCACTCTCTACCCCACTGTCACCCCACTGTCTACCCCACTGTCACCCCACTGTCACCCCACTCTCTACCCCACTGTCACCCCACTCTCTACCCCACTGTCACCCCACTCTCTACCCCACTGTCTACCCCACTGTCTACCCCACTGTCACCCCACTCTCTACCCCACTGTCACCCCACTGTCACCTCACTGTCACCCCACTCTCTACCCCACTCTCTACCCCACTGTCACCCCACTCTCTACCCCACTGTCACCCCACTCTCTACCCCACTGTCATCCCACTCTCTACCCCACTATCACCCCACTCTCTACCCCACTCTCTACCCCACTGTCACCCCACTGTCACCCCACTGTCACCCCACTCTCTACCCCACTGTCACCCCACTCTCTACCCCACTATCACCCCACTATCACCCCACTCTCTACCCCACTGTCACCCCACTATCACCCCACTCTCTACCCCACTGTCACCCCACTGTCACCCCACTCTCTACCCCACTCTCTACCCCACTGTCACCCCACTCTCTACCCCACTGTCACCCCACTGTCACCCCACTGTCACCCCACTCTCTACCCCACTCTCTACCCGACTGTCCACACCCCCCACTGTCACCCCACTCTCTACCCCACTGTCACCCCACTCTCTACCCCACTCTCTACCCCACTGTCACCCCACTCTCTACCCCACTGTCACCCCACTCTCTACCCCACTGTCACCCCACTGTCACCCCACTCTCTACCCCACTGTCACCCCACTGTCACCCCACTGTCACCCCACTGTCACCCCACTGTCCACACCCCCTCACTGTCACCCCACTCTCTACCCCACTGTCACCCCACTGTCCACACCCCCCCACTCTCACCCCACTCTCTACCCCACTGTCACCCCACTGTCCACACCCCCCCACGGTCACCCCACTCACCGGGATGGAGTCGCCCTTGGCATCTGTGCAGTCACACTGGTCTTTGCGTACACACTTGTCCTTATTGACCAGGAAGCCAGGGCGACAGACGCAGCCCTCCTTGCAGGTGGAGGGGGCTTTGGTGCTGGTGCCCTCACAGAAGACATTCGGGTTGGAGCAGGAGGGCAGACAGGAGGGAAGGCAGTCGGTGTACAGGCTGTGGGCGGGGCACTGCAGCTCTGTGGGGTGGAAGGACAGCAGGGCTCATGTCATGCCTTGGGTTCCTCCAGCCATGACCTGGTTCTGTCCTTCCCTTCCCGTGGGCTCCCTTACTCTTGGAGACACAGTTACTGCTGCCATCTTCATAGACTTCACAATGGGTCCCTGAGGGGCACTGGAAACTTTGGCACTGAAAGATCCCTCCCTTGCATGAACAAATCTGGGTGCAGTCAGAGGAGATCCATGTCTGGCCAGTCTGCAGAAGCCACAGGGAGGGAAAGAAAGAGAGAATGTCAGGGCTTGTTCTAGAAGATAAGTTTAGCGTTCCGTCTGAGGGTCTTACATTTGCCCTCTGTATCTGCAGGTTCAGTATCTATCGAGTCAACCAACCAACTACAGATAACAATTTTCTTAATTGCCACTGGGACTGTGGGCACAATTGAGCCTTTCTAGAACTCTCAGTGAGGGGGTGGGAGCAGAGTCAGGGCTAGAGCAATTGTCTAGGATTCCTCAGTGAGGTGCTGTGGGTGTGACCCAGTAGTGAGGTGTGGCCCAGAGGCAGGTACCGCGCTTGTTTAGTGAGTGTTAAAGGCGCAGCTCAGCAGAGGAGTATCTGTCTAGAATCGTCCACCGAACACTAGGGCATGTAGTTCAGTGGCAGAGCATTTCCGCGGCACACGCCAAGACTCTACCAACCTTCAAACCCCTGGGATAACCATGTGAATAAGAGCATCCAGAGAGACAGAAAAAAGGGAAAAGCAGCCCTAATCCTACCCTCAAAAATGTAGGTGTGTATGAGCGTGCGGGCACAGATCCACGGCGTGGGCAGATGTTAGGTTTGCTTCTGGCCTTGCACTCTGCGCCAAGACAAGATTCACTCTGCCTCTACTCTGACTTAGTGCTGTCATTCACTGCTTGTGTGCATTACCAGAGTTGGCACCGCATTTCCTGGGATGTTCCTGGCCTCACCTGCTGTCTCACAGCAGGAAAAGCTGACCAGCTTCCATGGGGGGTGGGGATTCAACTCGGGTTCTCACATCCACGGGGCAGCTCACCCAGCCAACTCCCATTCCCACACTGCGTTCTTCCTGCCCGCTCACCTGGATGAGGTTGCCCTGGGAGAGTTTGCAGGCACAGTGAATTCTGAGCACACATTTGTTGTTATGAAGCACAAAGCCAGACCGACAGAGGCAGCCCTCCTTGCAGGTGGAGGGGACTTTAGGACTGGTGCCGCCACAGAGGCCTTCCGGGTCCGAGCAGGAAGGCAGGCAGGAGGGAAGACAGTTGGTGTAGAAGCTGTGGGCCGGGCATTTCAGAGCTTTGTGGTAGAAAGAGAGTGGGTTAGTGGAGAGAAGCAGAGGCCACCTTAAACAGGGTGGGCAGGAGAACCAAGAAACGTCAGGGCTTCCTCTGGCTCTTTCGTCACTCATCAAGCAAATGTTTGCTAAGAGTGGGCTGTGTGTTTCCCCCGAGGACTCATCTGCTTCCTGACCTTTCTCTGATTCTCCCATCCATGAGCACAACCCCCCTCTCTTCCCCCATGGTTTCCTTACCACTGGTGACACAGTCACTGCTGCCATCTTCACTGAGCTGGCAACGGGACCCTGTCGGGCATTTGAAGTCCTGGCACTGGACAGTACCTCCCGTGCAGATACAGCTCTGGGCACAACCACTGGAGATCCACATCCTGCCTTCCTGCAGAAGCCACAAGAGGAGGAGGGCAGTGAGGACGGCCATGAGGACGGCCGTGAGGACGGCCATGAGGACGGCCGTGAGGACGGCAGTGTGCCATCACCAGCTGTCTGCGGGCTCACGTTTGCCACCCTGTACGCAGGCTCCGCATCGACTGAGTCAGTCAACTGCGGGTGGAAATAGTTTTAAAAGAATTGCAACTCTGGCTGTGGTGGGGACTTCTTAGCTTGACTAGGATCCCCAGTGAACAACAGAGGGTGTGGCTCAGTGAGGGTAGGGGTGTGGCTCAGTGAGGGTAGGGGTGTGGCTCAGTGAGGGTAGGGGTGTGGCTCAGTGAGGGTAGGGGTGTGGCTCAGTGAGGGTAGGGGTGTGGCTCAGTGAGGGTAGGGGTGTGGCTCAGTGAGGGTAGGGGTGTGGCTCAGTGAGGGTAGGGGTGTGGCTCAGTGAGGGTAGGGGTGTGGCTCAGTGAGGGTAGGGGTGTGGCTCAGCAGTAGAGCGCTGGCCTAGCATGTGCCAAGAACTGAACAACCTTCAACTCCAAGGCAAGTCATATAGATAGGAGCATCCTGTGGCAAGACAGGGAAAAGAAAATGGCTCCCAAGTCCACTTTTTAAATTTGTTTCTTTAGCATGTACAGTGTTCTGTCTGCGTGTATCCCTGCAGGCCAGGAGAGGGCACCAGATCTCATTACAGATGGTTGTGAGCCGCCACATGGTTGCTGGAATTGAACTCAGGACCTCTGGAAGAACGGGCAGTGCTCTTAATTTCTGAACCATCTCTCCAAGCACTTTAAAAACATGTATGTGCACATTTGTGTTAAAGTATGTGTGTGGGTGTGCACATACTTAAGGAGAAGGTCAGAAGGTGTTCTCAGTGTTGGTCCTTGCACTCCAAACTTTGCCCTGAAACAGGCTCTCTCTCTCTCTCTCTCTCTCTCTCTCTCTCTCTCTCTCTCTCTCTCTCTCTCTGTCTCTGTCTCTGTCTCTGTCTCTCTGTCTCTGTCTCCCTCCCCCTCCCCCCTCCCTCCCCGCCCCCCCCCTCTTGCTCCAATCTTGGCTTTGGTGTTGTTCACAACTATGTATACCAGATTGTTTGGCCTGCAAGCTTCTGAGGGTTGTCCCATTTGCACCTCGAGTATTTTAGTAGAGATTACACAGACTACTGCCTAGTTTAAATAAATTATGGGGACTTGAACTGAAGTCTTCACCCACTGAACCAAGTCCTTAGCCCTCACTAATGCCATTTTCCACACCCACTCACAGGGATGACAGCACCCTGGGCGTCTTTGCAGCCACACTGAACTCTGAGCACACACTTGTCCTTATTCAGCACGTAGCCAGATAGACAGAGGCAGCCCGGCTTGCAGATGGCAGGGTCTTTGGTGCTGGTGCTCTCACAGTGCCCATCGGGATCCGCGCAGGAAGGCGGGCAGGCAGGAAGGCAGCTGGTGAAGCGGCTGTGGGCGGGGCACTGCAGGGCTGCCCGATGCAAGCGAGCCTGGTTAGTGAGGAGGCCTGAGGAGATGGCGGCTTGTCTGCGGGTTCCCTGCTGTTGTGATTCCCTTAGCAAACCGGTAGTGAGCATAGACTGTGTGCTAATTCCCGAGAGAAGAGTGGACCTCGAGAGTCACAGTGAGAGCTGAGCAAGGGCCCTGCTGTGGTTTCCGGGAACCCCCACTCCTACTTCCGATTGCTAAGGCCTGCCTCTGGCTTCTCGGGTAATGGGCACGCCCTCACCACTTTCCCCAGTAGCTCCCTTACTGTTGGAGGCACAGTTACTGCTGCCATCCTCGCTGTGCTGGCAGTGGGTCCCTGTGGGGCAGTTGAAGCTCCGGCACTCGATTTCCCCACCGACGCAGGTGCAGCTCTGGGTGCAGCCACTGGAGATCCAGGTCTTGCCTGCCTGCAGAAGCCAGGGAAGAGAAAGGGAATGAGGAGAGAATGATTCTAGGGAGCCAAGCTCAATCTGCTAACTAACCAACAACTGTTAACCAACAGTAAGAAAAGTTGCACCTGGACTTTGGGGTACAGTTCAGTGGTGCCTGGTCAGTATACAATCTACTAGGAAGACTGTACAAGTCGGGCTTTGCCTTATGGTACTTGGCTACAATCCCCAGCAAGAGGCTCGGGATGTGATTCTACATAGAAGTCTGCCTACAATCCTGCAATATGGGTGAGGGAGTCTGGTACTTGCCTAGAATTCCCCAGTGAGGGGCTGGGGTGTGGTTCAGTGATAGAGCACCTGCCTAGAATCCCCCAGTGAGGGGCTGGGGTGTGGCTCAGTGGGAGAGCACTTGCCTAGAATCCCCCAGTGAGGGGCTGGGATGCTCAGAGGAGAACACTTGCCTAGCATGTTCTAGGCCCTGACTGATCTTCACAAACTAGGGCCAACCATACAGACAGATGCATCCAAGATGGAGAGAAACAGACAAAGGGAAAAGGTCATGTACAATCTCTCTTGGCAGGGGGTAATCTTTTTATGTTTATGTGAATCATTGTGTGAGAGTACAGACGCATGTGGAGGTGGGAGGACAATCTCAGGTGCTGGCTCTGACCTTCAGCTCTGTAATGCGACAGACATGTCCCTTTTCTGTCGCTGTCTGTAATGCGACAGACACGTCCCCTTTCTGTCGCTGTTTACCTCTGGGTACAGTACACTATCTGGTTCCTCAGTTTCAAAGGGTTCTCCTATACCCCTCCTATTGCCCAATAGCAGCCCTAGGATTATAGACACAGACTGTCCTGTTCAGTTTACATGGATAGTGAAGATTAGAACTCAGACCTTCAGCTGGGCATGGTGGCACACATCTGTAATCCCAGCATTCAGGAGACAGAGACAGGTGGATCTCTGTGAGTCTGAGGCCAGCCTGGTCTACAGAGTGAGTTCCAGGATAGCCAGGACTACACAGAGAAACCCTGTCTCAAAAACAAAACAACAATAAAACAACTCAGACCCTCCTCACACTTTCAGAGCAAACATTTAGCTCAGCCATTTCCAGACGCCCTCACCAACCCCACTTTAGATGTTCACTCACCGGGATGAGGTCACCCTCGGCGACTTTGCAGCCACACTGAACTTTGGGAACACACTTGTCATTAAACAGCACGTAGTCGGATTGACAGACACAGCCCTCCTTGCAGGTGGAGGCTTTGGGGCTGGTGCCCTTGCAAAGGCCGTGTGGGTCCACGCAGGAGGGCAAACAGGAGGGAAGGCAGCTGGTGTAGCGACTGTGAGCTGGACACTGTATGGCTGTGGAGTGGAGGGACAGTAAGGCTAGTGAGGACGAGGATGAGGATGAGGACAGTGAGGATGAGGACAGTGAGGATGAGGATGAGGATGAGGATGAGGACAGTGAGGATGAGGATGAGGATGAGGATGAGGATGAGGGTGAGGATGAGGATGAGGACAGTGAGGATGAGGGTGAGGATGAGGATGAGGATGAGGGTGAGGATGAGGATGAGGACAGTGAGGATGAGGATGAGGATGAGGATGAGGATGAGGGTGAGGACAGTGAGGATGAGGATGAGGGTGAGGGTGAGGATGAGGATGAGGATGAGGATGAGGATGAGGGTGAGGATGAGGATGAGGATGAGGACAGTGAGGATGAAGATGAGGATGAGGGTGAGGATGAGGACAGTGAGGATGAGGATGAGGACAGTGAGGATGAGGGTGAGGATGAGGATGAGGATGAGGGTGAGGATGAGGATGAGGACAGTGAGGATGAGGATGAGGATGAGGATGAGGGTGAGGACAGTGAGGATGAGGATGAGGGTGAGGACAGTGAGGATGAGGATGAGGATGAGGATGAGGATGAGGACAGTGAGGATGAGGATGAGGGTGAGGACAGTGAGGATGAGGACAGTGAGGATGAGGATGAGGGTGAGGATGAGGATGAGGATGAGGATGAGGGTGAGGATGAGGGTGAGGATGAGGATGAGGATGAGGATGAGGGTGAGGATGAGGATGAGGATGAGGACAGTGAGGATGAGGATGAGGGTGAGGATGAGGATGAGGATGAGGGTGAGGATGAGGGTGAGGATGAGGATGAGGATGAGGATGAGGATGAGGATGAGGGTGAGGATGAGGATGAGGATGAGGACAGTGAGGATGAGGGTGAGGATGAGGATGAGGATGAGGGTGAGGATGAGGATGAGGACAGTGAGGATGAGGATGAGGATGAGGATGAGGATGAGGGTGAGGATGAGGGTGAGGGTGAGGATGAGGATGAGGATGAGGACAGTGAGGATGAAGATGAGGATGAGGGTGAGGATGAGGACAGTGAGGATGAGGATGAGGATGAGGACAGTGAGGATGAGGGTGAGGATGAGGGTGAGGATGAGGATGAGGATGAGGATGAGGACAGTGAGGGTGAGGATGAGGATGAGGGTGAGGATGAGGATGAGGGTGAGGATGAGGATGAGGATGAGGACAGTGAGGATGAGGATGAGGATGAGGACAGTGAGGATGAGGGTGAGGATGAGGGTGAGGATGAGGATGAGGATGAGGGTGAGGATGAGGATGAGGATGAGGGTGAGGATGAGGATGAGGATGAGGACAGTGAGGATGAGGATGAGGATGAGGATGAGGACAGTGAGGATGAGGATGAGGACAGTGAGGATGAGGATGAGGATGAGGGTGAGGATGAGGACAGTGAGGATGAGGATGAGGATGAGGATGAGGATGAGGACAGTGAGGATGAGGACAGTGGAGGGGACACAGGGCCGGAAAGGAAGTAGCGACTACAGAAACAAGACAGGGCAGAATGGCCAACAGAACTCAGGGTTTTCCTCCTTTTGTTATTCATTCAGCAAACATTTACTGAGCATGGACTGTGTGCCAAACCCCAAGATAAAAAAATAATGGTTTTTCTCAAGTCAGTATGAGAAACTATTAATACACTAGAACTTGCAGGTGTTGGTGGCGCACGTCTTTCATACCAGCACTGGGGAGGCAGGAGGATCCCTGTGAGTTCGAAACCAGCCTGGTCTACAAGAGCGAGTTCCAGGACAGCCTCCAAAGCCACAGAGAAACCCTGTCTCGAAAAGCCAGAGGCGGGGGGCACTGAAAGACTGAGCAGAGGCTGGCTAACATTTACTGACACAGGCTGTGTGGGCATGGGTTCCCTGGGTTTGGCCCTGGCGATATGGGGAAAGCGTGCTGAGTGAGCATGTGAGCTGTGCTCTCTGTCCTCACCACAGTGCCTGGGAGTCACTCTCTCAGTCCCCACTTCCTTGCCTTCCCTACAGCGATGGACTGGAACTGTGAGCCCAAAGAAGGCCTTTGTCCCCCAGGAGCTTCTTGTCACAGCATTGTGTCACAGCAGCAGAAACTCACTACCATACTGCCACTGAGAAGGGACGCAGCCTCGCCACCGTCTTCCTCCCCACCCCTGAGCTCCCTGAGGACTTCCTGCCTGCCTGAGTCCTCCAGTCATGAGGACAGTCTCTCCACCTCCCTCATGGCTCCCTTACTGTTTTCAACACAGTTGCTGATGCCGTCCTCGATGTCCTGGCACTGAGTCCCCGTGGGGCACTTGAAGACACGGCACTGAACAAGTCCTCCCATGCAGGAGCATTTCTGGGAACAGCCCGTGGAAATCCAGGTCTTGCCTGCCTATAGAAGCAACAGGAAGGTATGGGAAGTGAGGACAGGGGCCAGCTGTAAGGAGACGGGCTTAACCATTTGCTGTCCTTACCTGAAGGCTCCACATCTACTAAGTCAACCAAGCCCAGGTAGGAAACACAGGGAAAACTGTATCCGGGGCTGTTCAGCAGGAGAGGGCCTATGCAGACTCCACCAGGAAGACGGTGGGAGCAGCAAGGCTCTGCCTTAGAGTGTCTGTCTACAATCCCCCAGTGAGGGGCTGGAATCCCCCAGTGATAGAGCATGTTCCTAGCCTGTTCCAGGACCTGAATAACCCCAGGGCCAACGATACAGTCATGATGTACATTCCACGCTCACAGAACAGAGGGAAGCAGGAAGGGGTCCCGATCCCAAATTCTACGCCCACTCACCGGAATGAGGGCGCCCTGGGAGTCTTTGCAGCCACATTGAACTCTGGGTACACACTTGTCCTTATTGAGCACAAAGCCAGGCTGACAGAGGCAGCCTTGTTTGCAGGTGGAGGGGCCTCTGACGCCTGCAACCTCACAGTGACCATTCAGGTTGGTGCAGGATGGGATACAGGCGGGGAGACAGCTGGTGTGGTGGCTGTTTTCTGGGCATTGCAGAGCTGTGGGGTGGAAGGAAATGGGATCAGTGCATAGGGCTTGAGGGAGCCCAAGGAAGTAGGGAGAACGGAAACTAGGCTGGGAGGATGACAGGAAGAGCTTGTGACTTTCCCCTTTGTTTATCCAGACAGCAAACCCTTAGTGAGCCAAGTCCTGAGAGAAGAAAGTAAGAGGGGTGGGTCTCCCAAGTCAGTGAGGGAGCCAAGCCACTAGGAGATGAGCACTGAGAAGAGACCCTCCCCACGGAGGTACCCGGTACCCTGGCCGCTGCCTCAAGAGACTACACTCCCTCTTGTTCGTCTCTGACCTACGCAGCCACGAGCACATCCTCTGCATCTCCCCACGGCTTCCTTACCAACTTTGACACAGCTACTGCTGTCATCTTCATTGTCCTTGCAGTAAGTCTCCGGGGGACACTGGAAACTCCGGCAGCGGATGATCCCTGCCACGCAGGTACAGTTCTGGGTGCAGCCTCTGGTGATCCAGGTCTTGTCGGCCTGCAGAGATCAAGGAGAGGGAAAAAAGTAAATAGAGATGGCAGTTCTGGGGAACAGCTGTGTGCTCTGTCTGAAGGACTCACAGTGGTCCTTCCTGTCCACAGCTTTCACTCTAGAACCAACAAAACACAGGTGGAAAACATTGGAAAAACTGTTACAACTGGGAGTTTGGGTATATCTGAGTACGATTGTGCCTGCCTAGAATCCCCCAGTGAGGGGTTAGGGTACAGCTCAGTGGTAGAGCACCTGCCTAGAATCCCCCAGTGAGGGGCTGGGGGTGTAGCTCAGGGGTAGAGCATCTGTCTATAATCCTTAAGAGAAAGGGTTGTGGCTCAGTGGCAGAACTGTAGCTGAGAAATTGCCTATGGAGGTGTGAGTTATAGAGCAAGGCTGCCAAGTACTTGCCTTGAATTCCAGCAGATGAACATGTAAGGGAAATGTGTGGTTAAATGAGAGGGAACTTGCATAGCATGTGCCAGGCCTGAGCAAGCTTCACACTGCAGGGCTGGCCATAAAGACAGGTGAACCCCTAGGGTCAGGTGTTGGTGGTGCACGCCTTTACTCCCAAAACTCAAGAAGCAGAGGCAGAAGGATCTCTGTGAGTTCAAGGCCAGCCTGGTCTACAGATCGAGTGCCAGGATCGGCTCCAAACATACATAGAGAAACCCTGCCTTCAAAAACCAAAAACCAAAACCAAAACCAAACCAGAAGAACCTCAGATGGACAAAAGCAGAGGGACAGAGAAATGGCTGCCAGTCCCACCTTGAAAGAACTCTTTTATTACACTGTCTTCCTTCTGTGTGCACATACCATGGCACATATGTGGAGGCCAAAGACGGCTTGCTGGAGTCAGCTCTCCTCCCACCATATAGATTCTAGAAATTGACTTGCCTATAGGTAAGTGACTTTACCTATGGAGCCTGTTTTTTGTTTGTTTTGCTTTTTTTTTTTTTTTTTGTCTTTTTGAAACAGGATTTCTCTGTGAAACAGTTCTGGATGTCCTAGAACTCATTCTGTAGAACAAACTGGATTTGAACTCACAGAGATCCACCTGCCTCTGTCTCCAAAGGCACGTGCCACCAACGCACCACTGGTGCATTACTTTTTAAAATTACTTTTTTTGTTTTTTTGTTTCCTTTTTGAGACAGGGTTTCTCTGTGTTGTTTTGGAGGCAGTCCTGGAACTTGCTCTGTAGACCAGGTTGGCCTGGAACTCACAGAGATCCGCCTGCCTCTGCCTCCCAAGTGCTGGGGTTAAAGGCGTGCACCACCACTGCCCGGCTAAAATTACTTTTATTTTATGTGCGTTGTTGTTTTGCCACAGGTATCGGGTCCCCTGGAACTGGAGTCACAGACAGTTGTGAGCTGTCATGTGGGTGCTGGGACTTGAATCCTGGTCCTCTGGAAGAGCAATCAGTGCTCTTAACCACTGAGCCACCTCTCCAGCCCCTACTTTTTTAAAAACTAATCATTGTGTGTGTGTGTGTGTGTGTGTGTGTGTGTTCCATATTCAATCATGACATGCATATGTGTGGAGGTCAGCGGACAAATCTTGGGTGTTGGTACTCACTTTTCACCCCATAATTAGATAATCAGACGGCACAGGCTAGCAAACTCCTAGATTTCGGGGTATCCCCTGTCTCTGCCTCCTGTCTCACATAGAAACCCTGAGATGACATAAAGGTCTCAGGCAAACAGGCCACACGACTGAGGAGACCCCAAGCACGTCCTCCATTTGTGCTGGATCAGGGCCTCACTGAGCCATGTGCCCAGGCCTACCGGTTTTACTTTTGGCACGCACTCACCGGGATGAGAGTGCCCTGGGCGTCTTTGCAGCCACACAGAATTCTGAGCACACACTTGTTGTTATGCAGCACAAAGCCAGATCGACAGACGCAGCCCTCCCTGCAGGTGGTGGGGGGTTTTGGGCTGGTGCCGCCACAGAGGCCTTCTGGGTCCACGCAGGAAGGTAGACAGGGGGGTAGGCAGTTGGTGTAGCGACTGTGAGCTGGACACTGCCCACTGGACACTATGGAGTGGAGAGACTAGTGTTAGCAGAGAGTGACAGAGGGGCCCAAAAGACACAGAGGCTGCAGAAACCAAGTTAGGATGAATGACCAACACGACTTGTGTTTTTCACTTTTTTGGGTTTAGTTTTCCTTTTGTTATTCATTCAGCAACCATGCACTGAGCATGGGCTGGGAGCCAGCCCTAAGGAGAGAACGCACGACTACATCTCCCACGTCAGTGTGGGAGCCTAACCACTGAGAGACGAGTACTGACAAGGAATGCAGTTGGGTGGCCTCCAAAGCCCTCTGTACTATGGCATCTCTCATGCCCGGCCTCCGAAGACTGGAGCCCGCGCTTGCTTCTGCCTCTGACCCCTGCAGCCGTGAGCACACCTCACTACCCCCTCCATTACCCTCTTACTGATTTTGGCACAGTTGCTGTTGCCGTCTTGGCCTTCCTGGCACTGAGTCCCCTGGGGGCAGTTGAAGCTGTGACACTGGACAGCCCCTCCCATGCAGGTGCAGCTCCGGGTGCAGTCCTTGGAGGTCCAGGTCTTGCCTGCCTGCAGAAGCCAGGGAAGAGACAGGGAGTGAGGACAGAGAGGCTGCTCTAGGGACACAGCTTCACCTCCTGTCTGAACAGTTTCAGCTTGCCCTCCCTGTCCATCCACTGAGACAACTAAACATAGGTGGGATGTATTGGAAAAGAAAACTGCATGTATGGAAGGGGGATTATCGCTGATTGGTAGATCATGGTCCTAAATCCTCAGTAGGGACCTCTAAGAATAGCTCAGCCACACAACTCACTGGCCAGGAATAGCCAATAAGTGGTAGAGCACCTGCCTAGAATCCCCCAGTGAGGGGCTGGGGTGTGGCTCAGTGGTAGAGCACCTGCCTAGAATCCCCCAGTGAGGGGCTGGGGTGTGGCTCAGTGGATAGAACACTGCCTAGAATCCCCCAGTGAGGGGCTGGGGTGTGGCTCAGTGGATAGAACACCTGCCCAGAGTCATTAGTAAGGGTTTGAAGCTGTGGCTCAGTGGTAGAATCTTCCACTGATGGACTGGAGGTGTGGCTTAGTGGTAGAACACTTCCTAGCCTGTACCAGAACCTGAACAACCTTCAAACTCAAGGAACATACATATAGACAGGAACATTCCAGAAGGAATTAGATGAAAGGAAAATGGTCCACAACAATCCAACTTTTAAAAAAAAGGTTTCATATGGCCCCAGAGACGCTCAGCTGTTAGGAGCACCTGCTGCCATGCAGAGGATCCAGATTCAGTTCCCAGAACTACCCAGCAGCTCACGACTCCTGTAGCTCTAACTCCAGGGCATCCAATGCCTTCTTTTTTAAAAAAAAATTATGCCGGGCGGTGGTGGCGCAAGCCTTTAATCCCAGCACTCGGGATGCAGAGGCAGGTGGATCTCTGTGAGTTCGAGGCCGGGATGGACCAACAGCCTCCAAAACAATACAGAGAAACCCTGTCTCATAAAACCAAAAAAAAAATTATTTGTTTTTATTTTATGTGTATTGATGTTTTGCCGTGGGTGTTGGGTCTCCTGGGACTGGAATTACAGACAGTTGTGAGCTGCCATGTGGGTGCTGGGAATTGAACCCAGGTCCTCTGGGAGAACAGCCAGTGCTCTTAACCACTGAGCCATCTCTTCAGCCCCTCCAGTGCCTTCTTTTGGCCTCTATAGGCATCAGGCTCCCAAGCGATATACATTAATACATTCAGTCATTCACACACATAAAATAAAAGTAAGTCTTTTTAAAGATTGTACAGTGTGTGTGTGTGTGCGTGCGCGTGCGCATGCTCGTGTAGTTCAGAGGACAATTTCAGGTATTGGTTTCTGGGGATTGTCCTGTCCCTGTCCACCATTTTCTGGTAGAGTAATGGATTGCAGACAAAGGTAACTGTAACTCTCTAGTGAGTTGTGGAGACTCAAACTCAGGTCCTTACACGTGCACAAGAAAGCAACTGCCCCATGGAGCTAGCATTCCCAACTCCGTGTCCACACCCACTCACCGGGATGAGGCCACCCTGGGCATCTGTGCAGCCACAGTGAACTTGGAGTATACACTTGCCATTGTTCAGCACGTAGCCAGGTTGACAGAGGCAGCCCTCACTACAGGTGGAGGGGGCTTTGGGGCTGGTGCCTTCACAGCGGCCATCCAGGTCAGTACAGGAAGGAGGGCATGGGGGAAGACAGTCTGTGTAGCGGCTGTGGGCGGGACACTGCAGAGCTATGGGGTGGAGGGAGACTGGGTTAATGAATGGGCCCAAGGAACAGAGAAATGTCCACAGAGCTTCAGGATTTTTCCTATCATTGTTAAATTTGAAAATATTTACTGAGCCTGGTATGTGTGTCAAACCTTAGAAAAGTAAGAATGGATCTCCCAAGTAAAGAGAAGACTAACCATTGAGAGGCCAGCCCCGAGAAAGGTCTCAGCAAAGTCAAAGGTCCACAGACTCTCCCCGTATCCCAACCTCTGAGGCCCAAGGGACTAAGCTCTGTGTTACCCAGCCTCTCATCCCTCCCCCTCCCCCACGGCCCCCTTACTGATTTTGACACAGTTTCTGCCGCCATCATTGCTGTCCTTGCAGTAAGTCCCTGGGGGACACTGGAAGCTCCGACACTGGACGGTCCCTCCTATGCAGTTACAGTTCTGGGTACAGTCTCCGTTGATCCAGCTCTTACCTGCCTGCAGAAGCCATGGAAAGGAAGCCAGGAAGAGGCCAGCTCACAGAGACAGCCTCGCCGTTCCCGGGCTTGTCCTCACTGTGTGCAGGCGCCACAGCTGCTTAGTCAACAAACGACCAGGGGAGACCATTTGAAAAGAGAATTGCCTTAGGGGATGTGGGGCCTGTGTCAGAGCATGGATTCCTGCAGTCAGCAGTTGGAGAATTCTCAGTGTCTGTCCTGTGCCAGACCATGACTGTCCTTCACACCTTAGGGTCACCTCTAAAGACAGGTGCAACCGTGTGGTGGTGTACACCTTCACTCCGAGCATTCAGGAGACAAAGGCGAGCAGATCTCTGTGAGTTCCAGACTTGCCTAGTCTGTCTACATATTAAGTTCCAGACCCTGCCTCAACCCTGCCAGGTTAACAAAAGAAGAGGGGAGGAGAAGAGCATTCCACTTTTATTTTAAATCTGTGTGTGTGTGTGTGTGTGTGTGTGTGTGTGCGTGTGTGTGTGCTTTCATGTACGTTCAGTGTGTGGGAGCATTAGTGCATGTGTGTATGAAAGTCAGAACACAGCCTGGAACGTTGGCCCTCATCTACTTTGTCATGTGAGGTTATCTGTCACTGTGCAATCATAAGACTGGCTAGCCTACAAGTCTCTAGGGATTGTCCTGCCTCCAAGTAGAAGCTAGGAGCTACCACGTCCAGCTCACATAGGTTCTGGACATTCAAACTCAGGCCCTCACACTTGCAAAGCAAACCTTTCAGCCAGTGAGCCCTCTCCTCAGCCACCCCCCAATCCCTCTCTCCCCGCCACTCACGGGAATGAGAACACTGCAGGAAGTGAGCCCTCTCCTCAGCCCTCCCCCCAATCCCTCTTTCCCCACCGCTCACAGGAATGAGGCCACCCTGGGCGTCTTTGCAGTCACACTGGATGCGGAGCACACACTTGTCGTTGTTCAGCAAGTAGCCAGGCTGACAGACGCAGCCCTCCTTACAGGCCGTGGGGACTTTGGGCCTAGATTCCTCACAGTGGCCGTCCAGAAAGGAACAGGAAGGGGGACAGGAGGGGAGGCAGCTGGTGAACTGGCTGTGGGCGGGGCACTGCAGCGCTATGGGGTGGAGAGGGAGGAGTCAATGAGGGAGTCCAACAGAGCACAGGCTATAGAAACCAAATTTGGCAGAATAAGCAATACTTCTTTTCTTTTGTTATTCATTTAGTAAGCATTTACTGAGCATGGGCCGTTGTGCCGAGCCCTAGGGAAAGAAGGTAAGAGTAACTTTTTTCCTAGGTCAGTGTGGAAGACTAAAAACGATGGGTCTCCCAAAGCAGCACGGGAGACTACGCAATGAGGGACTTATACTACAGAGGGGCCCAGCCCAACAGGGGTCCAGAATCTCTCCCCACTATGGTACCTCCCATCCCCAACCTCCAAGGCTAGAGGACCCTCCTTCTTGCCCCGCCTCTGATCCCTCCAGCCATGAGCACAGCCCCACAACCTTCCCCACGGCTCCCTTACTGATTTTGGCACAGTTACTGTTGCCATCACTACTGTCTTTGCAGTAAGTCCCTGAGGGACACTGGAAGTTCTGGCATTGGATGACGCCTCCTGTGCAGGTGCAGCTCTGGGTGCAGCCCCGGGTGGTCCAGGTCTTGCCTGCCTGCAGAAGCCACAGGACGAGAAAGTGAGGGTGGAGAGTTTGTCCTAGGGAGACAGACTCACCTCCTGCCTGAAGTATTTGCATTTGTCCTCTGTCTATAGGTTTCACATCTATTGAATCACCAACCAGAGATGAAAAATATTGAAAAACAATTAAATCTAGGGCAAGTGGGTTAGCTCAGTGGTAGAGCCCCTGCCTAGAATCCCTCAGTGAGGGGCTGGGGTGTGGCTCAGTGGTAGAGCCCCTGCCTAGAATCCCCCAGTGAGGGGCTGGGGTGTGGCTCAGTGGTAGAGCACCTGCCTAGAATCCCCCAGTGAGGGGCTGGGGTGTGGCTCAGTGGTAGAGCCCCTGCCTAGAATCCCCCAGTGAGGGGCTGGGGTGTGGCTCAGTGGTAGAGCACCTGCCTAGAATCCCCCAGTGAGGGGCTGGGGTGTGGCTCAGTGGTAGAGCACTTGCCTACCAGAGCACCAGAAGAGGCTCAGTGGCAGAGTGCAGGCCTAGAATACTCAGAAGGGGCCTCTGAGCACACAGCTCACTTGCACACAGTCTTCATTGAGAGGCCAGGTGCACGGCTCAGAGGGAGAGTGCTTGCCCGACAAATGCCAGGTCTTGACCAACTTTCAAACTCAAGAGCCAGCCAGAGACAAGTACCCATGCGGGGGTCAGAGGAGACCCGTGTGAGTCAGTTATTTCCTTCCGCCATGTGGATCCTGGAGACTGAACTCAGCTGTTCATGCTTGAAGGCAAGTGTCTTCACCGAGCCATGTGCAGGCCAGGCCCTCTGTTTTATGAGAATTAATCTTGTCGCATGAATATGCACACACAGCGTGTGTGCGTGCGTGCGTGTGCGTGCGTGTGCGTGCGTGCGTGTGTGTGCGTGCGCGTGTGCATGCGTGCGTGTGTGTGCGTGTGTGTGCATGCGTGTGTGTGCATGCGTGCGTGTGTGTGCGTGTGCGTGTGCATGCGTGCGTGTGTGCGTGCGTGTGTGTGCATGCGTGCGTGTGTGTGTGTGCGTGTGCGTGCGTGTGCATGCGTGCGTGTGCGTGTGCGTGTGCATGCGTGTGTGTGTGCGTGTGCGTGCGCGTGCGTGTGTGTGCGTGTGCGTGCGCGTGCGTGTGTGTGCATGCGTGTGTGTGCGCGTGTGCATGCGTGCGTGTGTGTGCATGTGCGTGCGTGTGCATGCGTGCGTGTGTGCGTGCGTGTGCATGCGTGCGTGTGTGTGCGTGTGCATGCGTGCGTGTGTGTGCGTGTGCATGCGTGCGTGTGTGTGCGTGTGCGTGCGTGTGCATGCGTGTGTGTGCGTGCGTGCATGTGTGTGCCCATGCACGCAGGAAGGCGGAGGCGCAGGTGCTGAGACTCACTTTGTACTGAGACAGGGCACCCGGCTTCCTTGTCTCAGTGCTATGTACTGTTGCTCTTCACAGTGAACACCTAGCTACCCAGCTTGTCAGTTTCTGGGGATCCTACGCACAGCTTAACATGGTCATGGGGGATCTAAGCTCAGGTCCCCACACTTTCGTAGGAGTACTCCTTTCCGGCTGCCCCAATCCCACATCCCCGCCACTCACCGGGATGAGAACAGCACGGGTGTCTTTGCAGTCACACTGGATTCTGAGCACACACTTGCCGTTGTTCAGGAAGTAGCCAGGCTGACAGAGGCAGCCCTCCTTGCAGGTGGAGGGGACTTTGGGACTGGTGCCCTCACAGCGGCCATCCAGGTTGAGACAGGAAGGAGGGCAGGAGGGAAGGCAGCCGGTGAACAGGCTGTGGTCTGGGCACTGCAGCGCTGTGGGTGCCGAGAGTGGGGTCAGGGGAGAGGACAAGAGGGACCCAAGAAGCACAGGCCACAGAAACCAGGGTGGCCCAGCGACCGCGACGGCTCGGGGCTCCCCCTCCTCGCTTTTAGTGTCCATTTAGTGATCATGGCCCTTATGACAAGTCCTCAGAGAAGGAAGCAAGAAGAATCACTCCCAGGTCACTGTGGGAGATCAGCCACTGAGAGAGAGACTGACGCCGAGGAGACTCGGCTGCAGCCCCCAGAGCCCACCCCACTGCTGGAAGAAGCTCCTTGTTGCCCTGCCTCCAGTTCCTCCGGTCAAGAGCCCACCCTCCCCACCTTCCCCACGGCCCCCTTACGTATTTCCGCACAGTTACTGCTGCCATCATTGCTGCCCTTGCAGTAAGTCCCTGCGGGACACTGGAAACTCTGGCACTGGATGGTCCCTCCCGCACAGGCGCAGCTCTGGGTACAGCCTGTAGCAATCCAGGTCTTGCCTGCCTGCGGAAGCCATGGGAAACGGGAGGAAGTAAAGTAAGTTCCTTGTAACTCTGTGTAGTTCCTATCTTATTTATTTATTTATGTGTGTGTGTGTGTGTGTGTGTGTGTGCGCGCGCGTGCACGCGCCCGTGTGAGCCCAGAAGACACGTCAACCCCTTGAAGCTAGAGTGGCATCTGTCTTAACCCCAGAGCCACCGCTCTGGCCCCGGGTTCTCAGGAGACTATGTCACTTCCTGTCTGGGACACTCACCGGGATGAAAGCACCCTGGTTGTCTTTGCAGCCACACTCAATTCTGAGCACACATTTGCCATTAAACAGCACATAGCCGGGTTGGCAGACGCAGCCCTCCTTGCAGGCGGAGGGGGCTTTGGTGCTGGCGCCCTCACAGTGGCCCTCTGGATCCAAGCAGGAGGGCAGACAGGAGGGGAGGCAGTCGGTGAAGTGGCTGTGGGCGGGGCACTGCAGAGCTGTGGGGTGGAAGCCAGCGGAGTTAGCGGAGGGGGCACAAGGAATCAGAGGCTGTAAACACCAAACTAGACAGAATGGCCAGCAGCTTGGGGGCCTTTCTCCTTGCTCTTAGTGTTCATCTAGTAAACATTTGCTGAGGATGGAGGACAGACGGGAGGACTCATTTCTTGACTCAGTGTAGAAGGCCACCCCTGAGAAGAGACTCAGCCACGCCCTATGTCCTAGAACCCTCCCTACTTGGAACCTCCTATCCATGACCTCTTAAGTGGGGACTAAGTTTCTTCTTGCTCTGCCTCAGACTCTTCTAGTCGTGAGCACACCCCTCCCCCCTTCCCCACGGCTCCCTTACGGATTTTGGCACAGTTACTGCTGCCATCTTTGTTGTCCTTGCAGTAAGTCCCCGAGGGACACTGGAAACTCCGACACTGAACAGCTCCTCCCATGCAGGCGCAGCTCTGGGTGCAACCTCTAAGAGTCCAGGTCTTGCCTGCCTACAGAAGCCACAGGAAGAGAAAGGGACAGGGGACGGAGGGGCTGGTCAAAGGGAGACAGCCTCACTCCTGTCTGCAGGACTTCCATTCCCCTCCCATCCTATAGGTCCATATCTACCGCATCAACCACGAGTACATGGATAATATTTGAAAAAGTACCGCATCTATGGATGCGGTTTAGCTCAGCAGTGGGGCACGAGTACATGGATAATATTTGACAAAGTACCGCATCTATGGATGCGGTTTAGCTCAGCAGTGGGGCATGAGTACATGGATAATATTTGACAAAGTATCGCATCTATGGATCCGGTTTAGCTCAACAGTGGGGCACGAGTACATGGATAATATTTGACAAAGCGGTTTAGCTCAGCAGTGGGGCACCTGCCTAGAATCTGACAGTGAGGCGCTAGCGATTATTTCAACAGAGAGCATCTGTACAGAATCACCCAGTGAAGGCTGGGGCATTACCCAGTGGTAGCACAACTATCTAGAATCCCACAACAAGGGCTAGGAATGGTTCTCAGGGGAAGATCACTTGCCTAGTCTATGCCAGGACAGACTTTTCTCCACATTACCAGGACATTGATATAGACATGAACATCCCAGAAGAAAGAAGAGGAGGAGGAGGAGAAAAGAAGGAGAAGGAAGATGAGGGGGGAGGAGGAGGAGAAGAAATTCCCACTCTCCATTCTCACCGGGATGAGAGCACCCTGGGCATCTTTACAGCCACACTGAATTCTGGGCAAACACTTGTCCTTATCGAGCACGTAGCCAGGGTGGCAGAGGCAGCCTTCCTTGCAAGCGGAGGGCCCTTTGGGGCCAGTGCCTTCACAGTGGCCCTCTGGGTCCAAGCAAGAGGGTGGGCAGGAGGGGAGGCAGTCGGTGAACTGGCTGTTGGCTGGACACTGCAGAGCTATGGAGTCGAGGGGGAGGGAGTTAGTGGAGGAGGCCCAAGGAAGCAGAGGCTTCTGTGCAGGGTCGGACTTGACAGAAGGCCAGGAGACCCCTCCACCCCACCTGCATTAACTATTCACTGAGCCAGCCCCGTTTGTCCATCAGGAGAGAGAAGACAAGAAAAAGGGGTCCCCAGTCAGTGTGGAAGATTAAATGTTGGGAGGGCGGTCAACCCAACCATGGCTCCACAAACTCTCTACTGCGGTACCTCCTATCCACAACCTCCAAAACACAAGAGAATAAGTTTCTTCTTGCCCTGCCTCTGGTTCCTCCAGCCATCAGCATAACTTCTCCATTTCCCCATAGCTCCCTTACGGATTTTAGCACAGTTACTGCTGTCGTCATTGCTGCCCTTGCAGTAAGTCCCCGAGGGACACTGGAAACTCCGGCATTGGACAGTCCCGTCTGTACAGGTACAGCTCTGGGTACAGCCTTTAGGAATCCAGGTCTTGTCTGCCTGCAGAAGGCATGGAAAGAGACGATAGGAAGTGAGGAAAGAGAGGTTGGCTAGAGACAGCCTCACCTCTCTAAACTTAGGTCTGCCTTCCCTATTGCTGCTGCACATCTCCTGAGTCAGCCAACAGAAAATATCAGAAGTGTTTCCTTCTGTCACCGTATGCATAACTCAGCAGAATAGAACCTGCCTAGAATCGCCCAGTGAGGAGGTGGGCGAGGCGTGGGCAATCAGCAGAACTTCTGCTGGGAACCCTAGGTAAGGGACCTGGGGAAGTGGGTCAGGGGCAGAATGCTGGCCCTGAATCCTATAGTAGGGACCTGGGGAGCAGAGCTCAGTTGCAGAGCACCTGACTAGAATCCTTAGAGGTGGCGGTTGTGTGGCTTTGAAGTAGAACACCTGCCTGGAATCCCCCAGAAGGGCTGGAGAGTGGTTCAGTCAGAGCACCTGCCTGCCTATGCCTGGACCTGAACAACCTTCACATCGCAGCCCAGACACGCAGGCTGACTGCAGCGCCTCACATCATCCCAGCCATGCGGACTGACTGCAGCGTCTCACATCATCCCAGCCATGCAGACTGCAGCGTCTCACATCATCCCAGCCATGCAGACTGACTGCAGCGCCTCACATCCCAGCCATGCAGACTGCAGCATCTCACATCATCCCAGCCATGCAGACTGACTGCAGCGCCTCACATCATCCCAGCCATGCAGACTGACTGCAGCGCCTCACATCATCCCAGCCATGCAGACTGCAGCACCTCACATCATCCCAGCCATGCAGACTGACTGCAGCGTCTCACATCATCCCAGCCATGCAGACTGCAGCGTCTCACATCATCCCAGCCATGCAGACTGACTGCAGCGCCTCACATCATCCCAGCCATGCAGACTGACTGCAGCGTCTCACATCATCCCAGCCATGCAGACTGACTGCAGCGCCTCACATCATCCCAGCCATGCAGACTGCAGTGTCTCACATCATCCCAGCCATGCAGACTGACTGCAGCGCCTCACATCATCCCAGCCATGCAGACTGACTGCAGCGTCTCACATCATCCCAGCCATGCAGACTGACTGCAGCGCCTCACATCCCAGCCATGCAGACTGCAGCGTCTCACATCATCCCAGCCATGCAGACTGACTGCAGCGCCTCACATCATCCCAGCCATGCGGACTGCAGCGCCTCACATCATCCCAGCCATGCAGACTGCAGCGCCTCACATCCCAGCCATGCAGACTGACTGCAGCGCCTCACATCCCAGCCATGCAGACTGACTGCAGCGTCTCACATCATCCCAGCCATGCAGACTGCAGCGCCTCACATCATCCCAGCCATGCAGACTGACTGCAGCGTCTCACATCATCCCAGCCATGCAGACTGACTGCAGCGCCTCACATCCCAGCCATGCAGACTGACTGCAGCGCCTCACATCATCCCAGCCATGCAGACTGCAGCGTCTCACATCATCCCAGCCATGCAGACTGACTGCAGCGCCTCACATCATCCCAGCCATGCAGACTGACTGCAGCGCCTCACATCATCCCAGCCATGCAGACTGACTGCAGCGTCTCACATCCCAGCCATGCAGACTGCAGCGTCTCACATCATCCCAGCCATGCAGACTGACTGCAGCGTCTCACATCATCCCAGCCATGCAGACTGCAGCGTCTCACATCATCCCAGCCATGCAGACTGACTGCAGCATCTCACATCCCAGCCACGCAGACTAACTGCAGCGCCTCAGTTGCGGAGAAGCAGAAATGAGCCAGTGGCCCTCAATCCTATGTGGGTTTTGGTTTCATTTGTTGGTTTGTTTGTTCATTTGTGACAGGTTCTCTTCTATGTAGTCCTGGCTGGTCTAGAACTTGCTATGTAGCTCAGGTTGGTCTTGAATTTGTAGGGATATACCTGACTCTGCTTTCCAAATACTGGGCCTAAATGGAACTAAAGCCATGAGCCCTCTCTCTGTCTGTCTGTCTGTCTGTCTGTCTGTCTGTCTGTCTGTCTGTCTCTCTCTCTCTCTCTCTCTCTCCTCTCACTGTGCATGTGTGTGTATACATGTGTGTGCTCATGTATGTGTGTGTGTGTTTGCACATGGAGGTCAGAGGACACTTTCAAGTGTTGGTACTCACGCTGTAGCTTGTATTGAAAACTCAGTCTCTCTCTGGGTCTGTCTTTTTCTCTGCCTTCTTTGTTGTTGGTCACTACTCATACATAAGACTAGCTAACTCTCAAGTTTCTGAGGACTCTGCTGTCTCCTTTCCCATCTCCCAGTAGAAGCACAGGGCTGTAGACATAGGCTACTCTGTCTATCTCACATGGGTTGTGGGGATTCAAACCCAGGTCCAGATGCTTGCAGGATGAATACTTTATAATGGAGCTGTCTCCACAGACCCTGGCAATCCTACCATCCACGCGCACTCACCGGGATGAGAGCCCCATGAGCGTCTTTGCAGCCACACTGACTTCTGAGCACACACTTGTCGTTATGGAACACGTAGCCGGGTTGACAGACGCAGCCCTCCTTGCAAGTGGTGGGGGCTTTAGGGCTGGTTGCCTTACAGAGGCCTTCTGGGTCCAAGCAGGAAGGAGAACAGGAGGGAAGGCAGCTGGTGAACAGGCTGTGGGCGGGGCACTGCAGCGCTGTGAGGAAAATAGAGTGGGTTAGGGGAGAGGCCCAGAGGGGGCCCGAGGAAGCAGAGGTCACAGAGACGAAGCTGGGAAGAATGACCAAGAGACCTGGGGCTCTTTTTTCTTTTTGTTCCTCATTCAGCAAACACTTCTGGGCACGGCCTATATGCCAAGCCTTGAGAGAAAGAGGTTAGAATGGGTCTCTAACTATGTCACAGACTATGGAGAGGCTAACACCAAGAAGGATCTCAGCAGAGCTGTGGGTTGCCAGAAACCTCTCTGCTGTGACACCTAGTATCTTGACCTCTTAGGGCAAAGGCCCAAGCTCCTTCTTTCCCTGCCTCCAATGCATCCAGTCGTGAGCACACCCCTCCCCTCTTCCCCACGGCTCCCTTACGGATTTTAGCACAGTTACTGCTGCCATCATTGCTCTCCTTGCAGTAAGTCCCTGAGGGACACTGGAAACTCCGGCACTGGACGGTCCCTTCCGTGCAGGCGCAGCTCTGGGTGCAGTCCTTGGAAGTCCAGGTCTTGCCTGCCTGCAGAAGCCACGGGAAGAGAGAGAATGTGAAGACAGAGGGATTGGTTGGAGAGAGACAATACTGCTTCCTGTTTGTAAGACTTAGGTCTGAATAGAGGTATCTATTCACAGCTATTAAGACTGCCTACCTGGTGTCAAAAACACTGGGGGAAAAGCTTCTGCTGCTGTGTGCACAGCTCAGCAATAGTGCCTGCCTCGAGTGAGTTCTCCACTGAGCAATAGTGCCTGCCTCGAGTGAGTTCTCCACTGAGCAATAGTGCCTGCCTCGAGTGAGTTCTCCACTGAGCAATAGTGCCTGCCTCGAGTGAATTCTCCACTGAGGGTGTGGGAGTGGCCCAGAATCTATAATGGGGGCCTGGGACTACAGCGCAGTTGTAGAGCAGCTGATGAGAAACCCTGCTGATCCGGGAGCTCATGTGACTGAGGTGCTCTCCTCGCTCCCTTCACTGAGGGCTGGAGGAATGGCTCAGTTGTAGAGCGTAGCCTGAGCCAGAGCACTATCAGCCTTCATACTTCAGGCACAGACAGGAGCATTCAAGGCAAGATTTGAAGAAGCAATGAGAAAGTGACCCTTCCAATCCTATGTTGGGTTTCAGATCATTCTCCTGCCCAGCGTGTGTGTGTGTGTGTGTGTGTGTGTGTATTTCTCTGTATGCAAGTGCAGATCACTTAAGCGTCTCCATCAGAGGTCAATCTTGAGTGTTGATCCTCATCTTCCACTGTGTATTGAGACAGGGTGTCTGTGCATTGCTGTCTCTCTCCTGCCCGATACCCATCTCCTCCCCCTCCCTCTTCCCCTCTCCCCATTGATGCTCACCACTGTCATAAGAATAGCAAGCTCACAAGTTTCTGGGAATTCAGAACTCCTACAGGAGCCCTGGCCTTGAAGACTCAGTTTGCAAGGGTTGCATGGGTTCAAACTCAACCTACATCACAAATATTTTACCCACTGATTCATCTCTGCAACTTTCAGAAGCCGCGCGGCAGGCGCCCACTCACCGGGATGAGAGCGCCCTGGGCATCTTTGCAGCCACACTGAACTCTGAGGATACACTTGTCGTTAAACAGCACGTAGCCGGGTTGACAGACGCAGCCCTCCTTGCAGGTGGAGGGGACTTTAGAGCTGGTGCCTTTGCAGAGGCCCTCTGGGTCCGAGCACGAGGGCAGACAGGAGGGAAGGCAGCCGGTGTAGTGGCTGTGGGCGGGGCACTGCAGAGCTGTGGGGTGGAGGGAGAGAGGTTGGTGGGGAGGGGTCAATAAAGCAGATGTGGTTTAAAAAAATCAAGCTGGACAGACTCCATAGCAGAGCCTCTCTGCACCATTTTGTCATTCATTCAGCAGACATCTATGGAGCACGCCGCTGTGCCGAGAACCGGGAGAGAAGACTCAGTCTCTCAGCCACTGGGAGCCGGGCACTGAGAAGGGACCCAGCCCAGCAGTGCACCCCGCCCCCGAGTCCCAACCTCTTAGGGCAGAGCACTAAGCTCCTACTTGCCCTGTGTGCAATTTTTTTTCTAGCAAAGGTAGCTACCACACCCCTGGTCCCCATGGATGGCCTCCTTACTGATTTTGGTGCAAGTACTACTGTTATCACTGTTGTCCTTGCAGTAAGTCCCCGAGGGACACTGGAAATTCTGACACTGGACGGTCCCTTCCGTGCAGGCGCAGGTCTGGGTGCAGCCCCTGGAGGTCCAAGTCTTGCCTGCCTGCAGGAGCCAGGGCATGAGAAGCAAGCAGGGACTGAGCGGATGTTCCAGAGAGCCAGGCTCAGCCTCACGCCTGAGGGGTTCAGACACGCTCTCCCTATCCAGTCGCCACCTCTGAGGTGCAGGCAGTAGGTGTGCTGCTGTGGACAGACACTGCAGAGCTAGTGAGTGGACAGATTTCCCCTCTGATCCTCTCCACTCACGCCAAGCATTCAAGTCTAGGACTGGGATTAGATTAAGTGGTGTGGTGGAGAGCTTGTACAAAACCCTTTCATGGGAGCTGCTGCGTGGCTCTCTGAGAGCACTGGCCTATTGTGTGTTAGGCCCTGAGCAGTCTTCTCAGGGAATGAGAAGATTCAGACAAGAGGAGAAAGTGGCCCTCAGTCCCACTCTCCACCCCCACTCACCGGAATGAAGGCGCCCTGAGCATCTTTGCAGCCACACTGAGTTCTAGGAACACACTTGTTCTCATTGAGCACAAAGCCAGGGTTGCAGAGACAGCCCTCCTTGCAGCTGGAGGGGCCTTTGGGGCTGGTGGTCTCACAGTGGTTGGAGCAGGAAGGCAGACAGGAAGGAAGGCAGTCTGTGAATTGGCTGTGGGCGGGGCACTGCAGAGCTGTAGATGGAGGCAGGTGGCGTTAGTGAAAAGGAGCAGAGGACCATGGGAGCAGAAGTCAGGGAAACTGCGGGAGGCTGAATTATAGGTGAGTCTGGGCTCTTTTCCTCCTTTTGTTATTCATTCAACAAACGCTTTTAAGCTGTTGCCAAGCCACGAGGAAATAAGAAAGAAGATGGATCTCCCAAGTCAACGTAGTAGACTAAACACAGAGCAACTAACGCTGAGAAGATGCTCAGGCCAGCCACAGGCATCCAGAATCCCTCCCCAGTGTGGTACTTCCTACCCCACCTCTAAGGCCCAAGGCCTAAGGTCTTTCCTGGCCTGCCCTGAATTCCCCACACACGAGCACACCCCCGGCCCTCTCGTGGCTCTCTTACTGATTTTGGTGCAGTTAATGCTGCCATCATTCCTGTCCTTGCAGTACGTCCCTGGGGGACACTGGATGTTCCTGCAGTGGATGATCCCTCCCACGCAGGTACAGCTCTGGGCACAGCCTCTGGTGATCCAGGTCTTGTCTGCCTGCAGATGTCACGGGAAGAGAAGACACCTGAGGACCATGGACCGGTTCTAAAGGGACAGACTCACTTCCTGCCTGAAGATTCCAAATGGCATTTCCTTTCTGAAAGTTCTTTATCCTTTGGCTCAACACTACAGATTAAATATATATTTTAATGGCAGCTGGGGCTATGCCATAGCCTAGCAGTATAGTGTCTATCTAGAATTTTCCAGTGGCGTAACGAGGGCATGGAGAAACAGTAGAAGGCATGCCTAGACTTCCCAGTGAAGGCCTTGGAGTGTGGCTCCGTGGCTGACCATTTCACTGGTGTGCACCAAGTCCTGACCAATCTTCTCACTACAAGGCCAGCCAAACAGGTGGGGAGAAGCAGAAAGGAGAAGGCCCTCAAACCCACTTTGTAAAAACACCTCTGTGTCTATGTGTGACTGCTGCATGTGTGTGACACATATGTTCTGAGGGCACAACACAATCTCAGGTGCTGGTCCTCACATTCCACCTTGTCGAGACAAAGTCTGTCTGTCTGTCTGTCTTCCTCTTTGGTGTTGCACACCTCTACCCATACAAGACTAGCTGCAAGTTTCAGGGACTCTTCTGTCTCCACCTCCTGGAGCCCTGGGGTTAGAGACACAGGCTACACCCCAGATTGTGGGTTGCAGGGATTAACAGACAGGTCCTCATTCTTTCTGAGCAAATATTCCACCCAGTTAGCCATCCCTCTAGCCTTACCAAGCCCGTCTCCCCCCGCCACCCCCACTCACCGGGATGAGAACACCCTGGGCATCTTTGCAGCTACACAGAATTCTGAGCATACATTTGTCGTCATGCAACACAAAGCCATGTCGACAGACGCAGCCCTCCTTGCAGGTGGAGGGGACTTTAGGACTGGTGCCGCCACAGAGGCCCTCGGGGTCCGAGCACGAGGGCAGGCAGGAGGGAAGGCAGTTGGTGTAGCGGCTGTGGACTGGGCACTGCAGAGCTGTGGGTAGAGGAGATTACAATGAGCAGAGAGGACCAGAAGGGCCCAAGGAAGCAGAGGCCCAGAACCATGCCGGGCTGAAAGATCAACCATTCGTCTGTCTGATAGCTTTTCCTTTCGCTATCGATTCCACACATATTTTCTGATCACAAACTGTGTGTCAGGGACAGAAAGGAAAGAAGGTGATACAGGGCTGGAGAGATGGCTCGTGGTTAGAGCCCTGGCTGGCCTTGCAGAGGGTCTGAGCTGGGTTCCCAGCACTCACAACCACCTGTAAACCCCAGCTCCTGGAGACCTAACAGCCTCTTCTGACCCCTCACAGCACCCGTCTGCACACGGATGGAATAATCACATATAGATATATGTAAATAAAAAGAAATACAGTTAGTGGAACTTAAAGGTGATGTGTCTTTAAGTTAAATGTGGGGACCAGTCACTGATGGATGAGGACGAGCAGCCCAGCATGAACTCTCAGGACGCCTCTCCGCCATGACGTCACCTTACACCTGACTCCTCATGCCCAGGAGACTAAGCTCCTTCCTGGCTTGGCCCTGGTCTCTCGGGCACGAGCACACCCTCTCCACCTTCCCGCGGCTCCCTTACTGATTTTGGTGCAGTTACTGTTGCCGTCCTCGGTGTCCTTGCAGTAAGTCCCTTCGGGACACTGGATAGCCCTGCACTGGATGACCCCTCCCATGCAAGTACAGCTCTGAGTGCACCCTCTGGTGATCCAGGTCTTGCTTTCCTGCAAAAGCCACAGGAAGAGAAAGCAAGTGACAACAAGGTTGCTGGCTCTGGGTAGTGCCTGCCTCCTGTGAAGACTTGGTGTGTACCATCAGCAGGCTCTATGCCCCCTATTAAAACAGACACCAACGGAGAGGGCCCACGGGGTAAACACATCGTGGGCTGTGAGACCATCTCAGACCAGTAAGGGGCTGGTCTGTTGCTCACTTGCAGAGCAGAGGGCTAGAATTGGCTATTGGGCACCTGGGAGTATAACTCACATGCAGAACCTCTGTCTAGAACCCTCCAGTGAGGGGCTAGTAGTGGTTCATTGGTAGAGCTGAGGGCTAGAATCCTTCAGTGGGAGCCTGAGGTTGTAGCTCAAATGCAAAACCTTTACCTAGAATCCTTTAAAAGTAGCTGGGGGCGTGGTTATGTTTAGAGCCTCTGACTAGGATCCTCTAGGGAGGGGCTTAGGGTGTGGCTCAGCAGTAGAGAACCTGCCTTACATTCTCCAGGAAAGACCAGCTTTCACACTACATGACCAGCAGCATAGTTGGGCACATCCCGGGGGGAGAGAAGGCCCAGTCTCACTTAAAAAATTGTCTGAGAGAACTTGCGTGGCTGTGTGACTGACTATGTGTGGCGCTCAGAAGCCCACCTCACATGTTGGTCTCACTTTGCACCCCCAAGGCTGCTGCTGGTGTTCACAGCTACTCACATACCACAGCTAGCTCACCATTTTCTAGGGATCGTCCTGTCCCCGCTCCCCGTCCGTCTCTAGAAAGAGCCCTGGGATTGTAGACACGCACCACCAAGGCTTACATTGATTATACATATTCAAACTCAGGTCCTCACACTAGGCAGAGGGGAGCGACAAACAGTTTACCCCACTGAGCCTTTCCCATCCCCCACCAACCCCACTGTAGACGCCCACTCACCGGGATGAGAGCGCCCTGGGCGTCTTTGCAGCCACACTGATTTCTGAGCACACACTTGTCGTTATGGAACACGTAGCCGGGTTGGCAGACGCAGCCCTCCTTGCAGGTAGAGGGGGCTTTGGTGCTGGCGCCCTCACAGTGGCCTTCCATATCAGAGCAGGAGGGCTGACAGGAGGGAAGGCAGTCGGTGAAGTGGCTGTTGGCGGGGCACTGCAGAGCTGTGGAAGAGAGAGTGGGGTTAGGGGAGGGGGCACAGGTGACCAGAGCAAGCAGAAGCTACAGAAACCGTAGAATGCCCAAGAGTGGAGGGTTTTTCCCCTTTTGTTATTCATTCACTAAACATTTAGTAATTGCGAACTTTGTGCTAAGCCTCAAGGAAAGAAAGAATGGATCCCCAGGAGCTGGAGAGATAGAAGGCTCGGCAGTTGTGAGCACTTGCTGTTTTTACAGAGGAACTGAGCTGGCTCTCCTGTAATGTCAGCCCCAGGGGACCCAATCCACTCTTCAGGCTGCCATGCACAGTGCGTCATGTGACTGACAGACCCACCGACATATGTTAATACATGCAATTCAAAGTAAAACTGCAAAGATGGATGAGTACCCCAAGTTTATGTGGGGGGCTAACCACTGAGACAGTAACCAGGAAAAGACACCCAGGAGAGCCACAGGCCCCCCAAAGTCCGCCTCACCATGGTACTTCCTATCTCTGATCTCTGAGCTCCATGTTGCCCTGCCTCTGGGCTCTCTAGTCACACGCACACACTCTCCACCTTCCCGCGGCTCCTTACTGATCCTGGTGCAGTTACTGTTGCCGTCCTCGATGTCCTTGCAGTAAGTCTCTGAGGGACACTGAAATTTCCTGCACAGGATGGCCCCTCCCACGCAGGTACAGCTCTGGGTGCAGCCTCTGTTGATCCAGGTCTTGTCTGCCTGCAGAAGCCAAGGGAGAGGAAGGAAGTGAGGTCGGAGGGACTGGTTAGAAGGAAAGAGCCTCACCTCTGGTCTGCAGGCTGACCTCTGCCCTCCCTGTAAATGGATCCCACATCACTGAGTAACCCAATCATGAGTGGTAAGAGACCTGAAGTAAAGAAAAGATACCTCTGGAACTGCGCTCATAGCTCAGTGGTGTCATGGACTCTGAGCAAGGGGCTGGGGTGGGGTCACTGGCAGAGCCAGGGCAGGGAAAGTTCCCTTGTGCTTGGAAGCACAGCTCAAATACAGAAGAACAAGTATATGCTCAGGAGGTTGGGAGGGGCTTCAGAGGCTGTAGCTTAGAGGCAGACCATTTGCCTATAATTCTCTAACAGAGTCTAGGATCATGACCCCGGTGTGCAAAGTTGCCTAGTATCCTCCGGTGAGAGGCTGGGAGTATGGCTCAATCGTAGAGGACTTGCCAAGAGTTTGGCTTAGCAGTAGAGCAATTGCCTAGGAATCAATGGCAGGAAGATAAAGACTTTACTCGTTGGTATAACAGCTGCCAAGAATCCAAAGGAGGTAGTGGGAAGATGGTTCGGGAGCAGCATTTAGGCAGACTCCTCAGCGAGTGCCAGGGATTACGCTGCAGCGTGAGAGCCCCTGACTAGAACTCCAGAGGGGCTGAAGGCTGCCCCAGCAGTTGACCGCTGCCTTAGCATGTCCCAGGACGTCACCAATCTTCATATTGCAGAACCAGCCACACAAGGAGGAAGAGAAAAGCATAGGAAGAGAGAAAGTGGCCCCCAACCCGACCTTTAAAAACGTTTCCAGGAGGCGTGGGGAGCACAGATGCTCGTGTGAAGACAGAAGACAACCTTCGACGATGGTCCTCATCTTCCACCTTGCACTGACGCCGTCTTTCTTTCTCTCCCTCCACTCCTCTCCCCCTGCCTCACCTCTGCTTCTCCCTTCTCTTTGCTGTGGTCCTCCACCCCTGCCCACACAACACTAGTTAGCTCTCCCATTTCTAGGATCATCTTGTCACGACCTCCTGTCTCCCAGTAGGATCCCTGGGATTATAGTCACACACCACCAAGGTTTACACTGCTGTACACATTCAAACTCATGCCCTCACACCAGGGTGTGCAAACATTTACCACTGAGCGCTCTCTCTCTCTCTCTCTCTCCCTCCCTCTCGCTCTCTCTCTCACTCTCTCTCTCTCTCCCTCTCCCTCTTTCTTCCTCCCTCTTGCTCTCTCTCTGTCACTCCCTCCCTCCCCCCCCTCTGTCACTCTCTCCGGCCCCCACCAACCCCACTGTAGACGCCCACTCACCGGGATGAGAACACCCTGAGCGTCTTTGCAGCCACACTCAATTCTGAGCACACACTTGTCGTTATTCAGCACGTAGTCAGGTTGGCAGACGCAGCCCTCCCTGCAGGTGGAGGGGGCTTTGGTGCTGGCGCCTATACAGTGGCCATCAGGGTCCGAGCACGAGGGCAGGCAGGAGGGAAGGCAGTTGGTGTACTGGCTGTGGGCGGGGCACTGCAGAGCTAAGGGGAAGAGAGAGTGGGGTTAATGGAGAGGAACACAGACTCAAAGCTGGCTACAGACTAGGCACAGTGCTCCAGACAGTGAGGTGCTCCCCCTGCCTTTGGTTATTCATGCAGCCAGCATTTACTGAGTATGAACTTTGTGCCAAGTTCTAAGGAAAAAAGTAAGACTGGATCTCTTGACTGGAGAGATGAATTGAGACTACTGCTGCTCAAGTTAAGTTTGTCCTGGTCAAAAGTCTCATGTAACTCAGGCTCCATCTGATGTCCTCTGTGGTCCCCCATGGACTGACTCAGATGTACACACCCATGTACAGACACATCATTATACATGGAGTTAAAAATAGAACCTTTAAAAAGAATATATCTTCCAAGCTAACTGGGAGACTGACATCTAGAGACTAATGGTGAGAAGGACCCAGACCAGCCCCTGGTCACCACAGTCCTTTTCCATGGTAGTGTCCCTTATCCCAGCTCTCATAGGCCCCGGGGACTAGGCATCTTCTTGCCCTGCCTCTGATCCCTCCAGCCATGAGCACACCCTCGCCACCTTCCACACAGCTCCCTTACTGATTTTGGCACAGTTACTGTTGCCGTCCTCGGTGTCCATGCAGTAAGTCCCTGAGGGACAGTGGAAATTCTGGCACTGGATGACCCCTCCCATGCAGATACAGCTCTGAGTGCAGCCTCTGTTGATCCAGGTCTTGTCTGCCTGCAGAAGCCAAGGGAGAGGACGTGGGAGCATAGGGTTTATTAGAGAAAGACAGCTTTGTCTCCTGTCTGAAGGACTTCCCTGTCTGTAGGGTCTGTGTGTATTCATTTAGCCAACTATGGATGGAAGGTACATGGGGAAAATGCATTGAAGGCTGTGGACATAGCTCAGTGGTATAGTATATGCCTAGAATCCTCCAGTGAGTTGCTAAGCGCATAACTCAGCCCTAGAGTTCTCCACTGGGAGTTTGGGAGCACAGTTCAAATGTAGAACCTATGCCTAGAATCTTCAGTGATAAGTGGTCAGCGGGATAGTTGGCAGGCTGTGGCTTAGCGGTAGACCACTTGCCCAGAGTCCCCCAAGAGGGTCTGGGGGTGTGGCTTAAAGGTCAAGCAATTGTCTAGGATCCATCATTGAGGGCTGGGAGTATAGCTCAGTTGACTAGGATTCCCAAGAGGGGCTGACCCGTGGCATGTTCTAGAGCCTTTATACTACTGAACCAGACATACCAACAGGAGCATCCCAGGGGGAGAAAAGCAGAAGGAATAAAAAAAGTGGCCCTCAATCTCAATTTTCACAAAAGTGTTATGTGATGGGGTGGGGCACAGGACCACGCGTGTGTGTGGTGACCACACGTGTGTGTGGTGGTCAGAGGACAAGCTTGAGTACTGGTCCTCATCTTCACCTCTGCGTCGAGATTCTCGCTCTGCTTCCTTCCCTCCCATGCTCCCTCGTTACTGTTCTTCACTCCTGCCCACACGTTTCTAGGGGTCATCCTGTCCGTTCCCATCTCCTAGTAGGAGCCCTGGGATTATGGACACACACCAGCAAGGCTGACATTAATCCAATAGATTCAAACTCAGGCCCTCAGCTCTCTTCAGCAAATGTTTTGCACTGAGCCTTTCCCAGCCCCCACCAACCCCACTGTAGACGCCCACTCACTGGGATGAGAGCGCCCTGGGCGTCTTTGCAGCCACACTCAATTCTGAGCACACACTTGTCGTTATCCAATATGTAGCCAGGTTGGCAGACGCAGCCCTCCCTGCAGGTGGAGGGGGCTTTGGTGCTGGCGCCTATACAACGGCCATCAGGGTCCGAGCAGGAAGGCAGGCAGGAGGGAAGGCAGTTGGTGTACTGGCTGTGGGCGGGGCACTGCAGAGCTATGGGGTGGAGGAGATTGGAATTACTGGAGGTGACCTTGAAGGCCCAAGTGAGCAAGCTACAGAAGCCAGACTAGGGAGCTGGAGAGATGGTTCAGCCTTTAAGATTGCTTGCTGCTCTTACATGGGACTTGAATTCAGATCCAAGCATCCATGTACGGTGGCTCAGTACCCCCATAACTCCACCTTCAGGGGACCCAGCAACCCTTCTGGCCTCCACAGGCACTGAGCTCAGATGCACAAACACACACAGGCACACCATTATACGTGTAGGAAAAACACCCTTACAAAGAATTTGGATCACTGGGCGGTGGTGGCACACGACTTTAATCCCAGCACTCGGGAGACAGAGGCAAGTAGATCTCTGTGAGTTCAAGACCAGCCTGGTCTACAGAGCAAGTTCCAGGACAGCCAGGGCTACATAGAGAAACCTTGTCTCAAAACAAAAACAAAAACAAAACAAAACAAAAAACAAACAAACAAAAAAGAATTTGGATCTGCCAAGTCAGGCTGGAGATTAACAAAGACTAACTATGGGACCCAGCCCAACCTTGGGTCCTCACATCCCTCCCCACCGTGGTACCCTGTCTCAGAGGACTACCCTCCTTCTTCCCCTTCTGACCACTCCAGCCACCTTCCCACCTTCCCGCGGCTCCTTACTGATCCTGGTGCAGTTACTGTTGCCGTCCTCGATGTCCTTGCAGTAAGTCTCTGAGGGACACTGAAATTTCCTGCACAGGATGGCCCCTCCCACGCAGGTACAGCTCTGGGTGCAGCCTCTGTTGATCCAGGTCTTGTCTGCCTGCAGAAGCCAAGGGAGAGGAAGGAAGTGAGGTCGGAGGGACTGGTTAGAAGGAAAGAGCCTCACCTCTGGTCTGCAGGCTGACCTCTGCCCTCCCTGTAAACGGATCCTGAACCCGAAACATGGAAGGAAAAGATTTGGGGGAAAATGCACCTGGGACTGTGGACACAGCTTAGTGGCATAGCACAGTGTTAGTGCTTGACCCTAGAATCCTCTACTGGTGGCTTAGAGCATAGCTCAGGGTTAGGAACTCTGCTAGGACCCTCAGTGATGGTGGGCATTGGAGAAGGTGGAGCTCAGCTGTAGAACACTCGCCTAGAATCCTCCGGGGAGGGGTCTGGCTCATGATATACTATCTGCTAAGATTCCCCAGTCTGGAGTGTGGTTGGCAGAGCTCAGGCCCAGTCTTCAAATGAGGACTAGGTAGTATAACCTAATCTCACAGCTCCTGACCAGAGTGTCCCTCGGCGGGGACAGGAGCACTTACCTAACCTTCGTCCATTCAGACAGGAGCATCACAAGCAGAGAACACAAAAGAAAGGAGGATGTGGTCCCAGTGCTAACTGGGTTTTTAGTTTGTTTCTTTTGCTTTTGTTTTGAGACAGACTTTCACTTTGTAGCCCTGGCTGTCCTGGAACTCACTTTGTAGATCTAATTGGTCTCAAACTCGCAGAAATCTGCTTGCCTCTGCCTCTGACTACTGAGTGCTGGGCTGAAAGAAATGCGCCACCACAACCAGTACAATCTGTTTTTAGAACAAATGTGTGTGTGCATGTTTGTATTTTCTTTGGCATGGCTGTAAATAGGACGCATGTTTATGTGGGGACCAGACGAAAACCTCAAGTCTTGGTCTTCACCATTCCCTTTTTATTGAGATGGGTCTCTGTCTGTCTCTCTGTCTCTGTCTCTATCTCTGTCTCTGTCTCTCTGTCTGTTTCTCTATCTCTGTCTCTGTCTCTATCTCTCTGTCTCTATCTCTATCTCTGTGTCTCTCTCTCCCTTTCCTCTTCACTCACTGCTCATTGCTGCTCACGCAGACTAGCTAGCCCTTAAGTTTCTGAGAATTCTCCTGTCCCTGCCCCTCCCATCCTAGTAGGAGACCCTGGGACTAGAGACAGGCTAACAAGGTTTACAAGGCTTTAGACATTCAAACTCAGGTTCTATACTTGCAGAGCAAATGTCTTGCACTGAGCCTTTCCCATCCCCCCACCGCCCCACTCTAGACGCCCACTCACCGGGATGAGAACACCCTGGGCGTCTTTGCAGCCACACCGAATTCTGAGCACACACTTGTCGTTATCCAGCACGTAGCCAGATAGACAGACGCAGCCCTCCTTACAGGTGGAGAGGGCTTTTGGGCTGGCGCCCCTACAGAGGCCATCAGGGTCCGAGCACGAGGGCAGGCAGGAGGGAAGGCAGTTGGTGTACTGGCTGTGGGCGGGGCACTGCAGAGCTTTCGGGTGGAGAGAGAGTGTGGTTAGTGCAGAAGAACAGAATGGTGCAAGGAAACAGGGAACCAGGCTATGCCAATGACCCACAGAACTTGGGAAGTTTCTTTTCTTTCCTTTTGCTATTTCTTTAGCAAACATTTACTGAGCATGGGGTATGTGCCAAGTTCTAAGGAAAGAAACTACGAAGGGTTGATCTTGGACTGCAGAGTGTTTAACTCAGTGGTTTTATTGCTTTCTGCTCTTGTAGAAGAGCTCAGTTCCCAGCACCCAGGTTGAGTGGCTTACAGCATTCTGTAATTCCAGCACTAGGGGATCCACCACACACACACACACACACACACACACACACACACACACACGCACGCACGCACGCACGCATGCACGCACGCACAAGTGCACATGCATGAACACACACACACATGCACACCCACCATACAAGCACCCACACGCAGGAGGAGAACAAGTAGTAGTAGGAGGAAGACCTTCCAAGTCTGTGTGGAAAAACTAAGATCTGAGAAGGTATCATTGAGAAGGGACATGGCCCAGCCATAGATTCCCAGAATCCTTCCCCACTGTGGAACCCCTAAATTCTCAGAATGTGGGGACTAAGTTCCTTCTTGCCCTTTCTCTGGTCCCTTCAGCTACGAGCACACCCTCCTCAAGTTTCTCCCATGGCCCTCTTACTGATTTTGGTGCAGTTACTGTTGCCATCATTGGTGTCCTTGCAATAGGTCCCTTGGGGACACTGAAAGTTCTGGCATTGGATGGCACCTCCCACACAGGTACAGCTCTGGGTGCAGCCCCGGGAGGTCCATGTCTTGCCTGCCTGCAGAAGCCACAGGAAGAGAAAGGGAGTGAGGACTTGGCAGGATGTTCTCAAGAGACAAGTTTACAGCCTGAGTGGATCGCCTACACACTGTTTGCAGGTTCCCCATCCAATGATCCAACCAGCCGCAGGAGGACGATATTTGATTTAAAAATTGCATTCAGGGACTAGAGAGATACTGAACATTTAAGAGGTCGTGCTGCTCTCTTACAGTATCCAAGTTTAGACTCCTGCCCCCACATTGGGACCCTCAAAACGGTAACTCTATTTCCAGGTTATCTGACAGCTCTCAGCCACTTCAGGCACGTGTGCTCATGTGGCACACATTCCCACAGACACTCAGATATGCACATAAATCAAATTTATAAAATCTTTTTTTAATTGCATTTGGTGCTGTTGGCTGTGGTTCATTGGCAGAAGGTCTATATGGAACCCCAGTGAGGAGTTGAGGGCAAGGCTCAGCAGCAGCAGATTGCTTGCCTAGAATCCTCAAATGAGGGGCTGCCACGTGACAGAGGTAAATTCCTTGCCTGGAACCTCATGGGTGACTCACACTTAGAGTTCTAGTCCACTGAGTGCCCCCTGATCAGTGTTTATACTCCAGGGTCAGTCATTCAGGCATGCGCATCCCAGGCTCAGAGAAGCAGAGGGAAGGAGGAAGGGGACCCCAAAGCCATTCTCCACACCCACTCACCGGGATGAAGGTACCCTGGGTGTCTTTGCAGCCACACTGAATTCTGGGTATACATTTGTTCTCATTAAACACAAAGCCAGGGCGACAGACGCAGCCCTCCTTGCAGGTGGAGGGGACTTTGGTGCTGACGCCCTCACAGTGGCCATCCAGATTGGAGCAGGAAGGCTGACAGGAGGGAAGGCAGTCGGTGAACAGGCTGTGGTCTGGGCACTGCAGAGCTGTAGGGCAGAGGGAGAGTGGGGTTAGTGGAGAGGCCCAGAGGGGCTTGAGGAAGCAGGGGCTACAGAAAGCAGAGATGAACTGTTCAAGAGAATTGAAATGCGGATTGTTCTCTTCCCCCCAGACAGTTACTGACCACAGGCCGTGTGCCAAGCCCCTATAAAGAAAGAAGAATGGATCTCCTAAGTCATTGTGGGGCGTGAGCCTTGGAGACACCACGACTGAGAAAGCACGCAGCCTGGAGACACCAGTCCCCAGAATCTGTCCTCACGGAGTTACCCCCTACCCTGACCTCTGAAGCCCAGGCGAGCTCCTTGCTTGTCCCTGATGTGTTCAGCCCCCTCCCTGCTCCCTTCCCGCAGCTCCTTACTGATCTTGGTGCAGTTACTGTTGCCATCCTTGATGTCCTTGCAGTAAGTCCCCGCGGGACACTGGAAATCCCTGCAGTAGATGATCCCTGCCACGCAGGTACAGCTATGGGTGCAGCCTCTGTTGATCCAGGTCTTGTCGGCCTGCAGAAGCCAGGGACAGAAAGGAAGTGACGGGCAGAAGGGCTGGTGAGAGGGCAGCAGCCTCAACCCTCTCAAGTGCTGACCTCTGCCCTTTCTAACTGCAGGGTCTCATCCACGTAGTCAGTCTATCACTGACGGACAGTCTGGGGGATGACCTGTGTGACTGGTACAGCATCTGCCTAGAACCCCCACCACAGTGCTTACAGAGCAACTCAGTGGGCCCCTTCTAAGCCCCCAACCATCCCTTGGTGGCCTAGGAGCACGATGCAGTTCATTTGGCTTCTGACTACGTACAGTCTCTGGTGGGGATTCATCTGTGCGCGCTCTGCCAAAGAGCACTTGTCTAGTATTTTCCAGACCCCATCAACCTTCACGCTCCGAGGCAACCATGTGTACGGACAGGTGCATCCCAGGTTCACAAAAGGGAAAAAAAGAGCAAGCAGCCCCAATTTCAAAACAATCTGTGTGTGTGTGTGTGTGTGTGTGTGTGTGTGTGGTGTGTGTGGTGTGTGTGTGTGTGTGTGTGGTGTGTGTGTGTGGTGTGTGTGTGTGTGTGGTGTGTGTGTGGTGTGTGTGTGGTGTGTGTGTGTGGTGTGTGTGTGTGTGTGGTGTGTGTGGTGTGTGTGTGTGGTGTGTGTGTGTGTGTGTGTGTGGTGTGTGTGTGTGGTGTGTGTGTGTGTGTGGTGTGTGGTGTGTGTGTGTGGTGTGTGTGTGGTGTGTGTGGTGTGTGTGGTGTGTGTGTGGTGTGTGTGTGGTATGTGTGTGTGTGGTGTGTGTGTGGTGTGTGTGTGGTGTGTGTGTGGTGTGTGTGTGTGTGTGTGTGTGTGGTGTGTGTGTGTGTGGTGTGTGTGTGGTGTGTGTGTGTGGTGTGTGTGTGTGTGGTGTGTGTGGTGTGTGTGTGTGGTGTGTGTGTGGTGTGTGTGTGTGGTGTGTGTGTGTGGTGTGTGTGTGTGTGTGGTGTGTGGTGTGTGTGTGTGGTGTGTGTGTGGTGTGTGTGGTGTGTGTGGTGTGTGTGTGGTGTGTGTGTGGTATGTGTGTGTGTGGTGTGTGTGTGGTGTGTGTGTGGTGTGTGTGTGGTGTGTGTGTGTGTGGTGTGTGTGTGTGGTGTGTGTGTGGTATGTGTGTGTGTGGTGTGGGTGTGTGGTGTGTGTGGTATGTGTGTGGTGTGTGTGTGGTGTGTGTGGTGTGTGTGGTGTGTGTCTGTGTGTGGTGTGTGTGTGTGTGTGTGTGTGTGTGTGCAGGGCACATGCATCTGTAGAGGTCAGAGGGGTAACCTCTTCCCCTCTGCAGTGAGACGGCTCGTCCTGCTCTTTTCTTTTTCCTGTGGTCCTTCCCCGCTAACACACAAGCCTACCTCCCATCTCCCAGTAGGAGCCTGGATTACAGACACAGGCTACCGGGCCAGTTTGCGTGGGTAGTGGAGATCCAATCTCAGGGCCACATTCTTTTGGTATATGTACTTTATACACTAAGCCACCTCCCCATCCCTGACCATCCCTCTCTCCACGCCCACTCACCGGGATGAGAGTGCCCTGGGCGTCTTGGCAGCCACACAGAATTCTGAGCATACACTTGTTGTTATGCAACACAAAGCCATGTCGACAGACGCAGCCCTCCCTGCAGGTGGAGGGGGCTTTGGTGCTGGCGCCCCCACAGTGGCCTTCGGGGTCCATGCAGGTAGCCAGACAAGGAGGTAGGCAGTTGGTGTAGCGGCTGTGGGCGGGGCACAGCTCACCTATTGGGTAGACGGAGAGTTGGGTTAGTAGAAACGATTGAAGGGGCTGGAGAAGCAGTGGCTACAGAAACCAGGTGGGACCAAATTACCACCTGAACTTTGAGGGATTTTACCCCATCGAGCATGGGATGTGTGCCGAACCCCAAAGTAATAAGATGGACTTCCCAAGTCAACATTGGAGACGAACTATGGAGAGGCTAACACTAAGGGACCCCACTGAGCAGCATGGCCCCAGAATCTCTCTACTCTATCCCTACCCCAAAGGCCCAGGGAACTAAGCCCCTTCTTGCTCTGCCTCCGATCCCTTTAGTCATGAGAAAAACCCTCCCACCTTCCCGCATGGTGGCTCCCTTACTGATTTTGGTACAGTTACTGGTGTCACCCTCTCTGTCTTGGCAGTAAGTCCCTGAGGGACACTGGAATTTCTGGCATCGAATGACCCCTCCCATGCAGTTACAGTTCCTGGAACAGCCTCTGGAGATCCAGGTCTTGCCTGCCTGTAGAAGCCATGAGAAAAGAGAGAGGAAGTAGGGGCTGGCTTAGGGAAATGGTCTCACCCACTATCTGCAGGACTTCAGTCTGCCCTCCCTGTCTGTGACTCAGAATCTAGTGTGTCTATCAACTACAGGAGGTAAATATTTGGAAAAAGGAAAACCACTACATCTTGTCAGGATGTGGTGGCAAACACCTCTAATCCAAGTTCTTGGGAAACAGAAGCAGGCAGATACCTGTGAGTTCAAGGACAACCAGGACTATATAGTGAGATTCTGCCTCAAAAAACAAAAACAAACACAAGAGTAAATACTGCATCTGGGGCTAGCAGTACAGTTCGGGGTACAGTGCTTGCCTAGAATCCTCCTGTGGGGGATAGAGTATGGCTCACCCTTAGTCTATTGAAGGGCTAGGAAATGGCTCAGTGTTAAAGCTGAGGTCTAGAATCTTCCAATGGGAGCCTGGTGTGTAGGTCAGCCACAGAGCACCAGAGTAGGATCCAACTGACAGGCAAGGGTGGGAGGTAGGGGTGGGGCACGTACTAGAGGCAGAGCACCTGCCTAGAATCCCCCAGTGAGGGGCTGGGGTGTGGCTCAGTGGTAGAGCTCCTGCCTAGAATCCCCCAGTGAGAGGCTGGGGGTGTGGCTCAGTGGTAGAGCCCCTGCATAGAATGCCCCAGTCAGGGTATAGAGGTGTGGCTCCTTGGTAGTGAGCCTGCCTAGCCTATGGCAGGACCTGGCCAACCAGGAAAGGACATCCCAGGTGGAGAGAAGCAGAGGAAACTAGAAAGTAGCTGCCAAACCTATTTTTAAAAATATTTTTATGTGTCTGTGTGGAGGAGTGTCTGGGAAAATACTAACCCATTGACGCCAGAGGACAGTCTCTAGCTTTGACTCTTGCCGTCTGTTTTGTTTTGAGATAGCCCCCCACACCTCTCTCTCTGCTGTTGTTCTCCACAAGACTAGCTAGCTCCCACTTTCTGAATATTCTCCTGTCTCCCATCCGCCAGTAGGAGCACTTTAAGAGAGTCTCTGCAGCAGCGTATGTGGGCTGTGGGCATTCGAACCCAGTCCTCATCCTTGCAGTGTGATGGCTGCTCTCGGCTGTCAGCTTGACTACATCTGAAGTGAACTAAAACCCAAATGACTGGGCACACTTCCAAGGGATTTACGTTTTTTCTTACTTAAACTATTTGAAGTGGGAAGACCTGCTTCTAATCCAGATCTCTGCGGTGGGGAGATCCACCTTCTAGGCTGCCCCTTCTGCCAGCAGCCTGTCTAAAAGACATGGAAGAAGGGCTCCCTGTCCCCCCTCTCTCCTCTCTCTCTCTCTCTCTCTCTCTCTCCCTCTCCTCTCTCTCCTCCTCTCTTTTTCTCTCTCCCCTCTCCTTTTCTCTCCTCTCTCCTTCTGCCACCTCTCTCTCTCTCTCCTCTCTCCCCTCTCCCCTCTCTCTCCTCTACCTGCCTGCTTGCTCTCAGTGGAAAATCCTCTCCTCCACTGGCACAGTGCCCACTTGTTTGGCATTCTGGTGTATTCTGGAGACAGCTGAGATGTCCAGCCTCACAGACTGAACAAACTACTGGGTTCTTGGACCTTCCAGTCACAGACAGCCATTGTTGGGTTAGACTTACAGTGTAAACCATTCTAATAAATCCTTTCAGTATCTAGAGAGATTCATTCCATAGAGAAGCCTGACTGATTCACACAGCAAGAGATTTACCTACTGAGCCCTCTCAGACCTCCTCTCTGCACCCACTCACCGGGATGAAGGCACCCTGGGTGTCTTGGCAGCCACACTCAATTCTGAGCACACACTTGTCGTTATCCAGCACGTAGCCAGGTTGGCAGACGCAGCCCTCCCTGCAGGTGGAGGGGGCTTTGGTGCTGGCGCCCTCACAGTGTCCTTCCGGGTCCAGACAAGAAGGCGGGCAGGCAGGAAGGCAGTTGGTGAACTGGCTGTGTGCTGGGCACTGCAGAGCTAGGGTGGAGGGAGAGCAGGGTTAGTGGGGAAACAGAGGCAGACCATAGAAACCAGGCTGGGTAGAATGACCAACAGAGCTTGGGGCTTGGCAAACATTTGCTGCCCACAGACTGTGCCGTGGCTTAAAGAAGAAAGGAAGGCTATGAGTCTCTCACGCCAATGTGGGAGCGAGGCTTCTGAGTGACCACTGCTGAGAAGGGTTCCCAAACTCCTCATCACTGCAGCACTGCCTATCACTGAGCTCTAAAACCACAGCGAACTAAGCTCTGTCTTTACCCTGCCTCTCATTCCTCCAGCCACGAGCACACCACCCCCACCTTCCCCACGGTCCCTTACTGATTTTGACGCAGTTACTGTTGCCATCATCACTGTCTTTGCAGTAAGTCCCTGGGGAACACTGGAAGTTCCGGCATTGAATGGCGCCTCCTGTGCAGGCGCAGCTCTGGGTGCAGCCCCGGGAGGTCCAGGTCTTGCCTGCCTGCAGAAGCCACAGGACGAGAAAGGAAATGATAACCAAAGGCTACCTCTAAGGAGACAGCCTCACCTCCTGTGTGAGGGATTTACATTTGCTCTTAGAGTCTGCAGCATCCATATCTACTCCATCCGCCAACCACAGAAATGTTTGAAAAAGCACTGCTTCTGAGGCTGGAGGAACGGTAGAGGGCACTGTGTATGCCTAGAATACGAGAGATGATGGGGAAGTCCTGTGTATATGCCAATAAAGCACTGTTGGCCAATAGGGAAGCAAGATAGGTGGGACTAGGAGTCAAGGAGAATTCTGGGAAAGAGAGGCAGAGTCAGTCATGATGTAGCCTCCATAGGAATAAGAGGGGACCCTTTTCTCCGGTAAGAGAAATACTTAGATTAGCAACTATGGGTTAAATACTTAAGTCAGAAATAGCCAGTAAGAAACCAAGCAAAAGGCCAGCAGCTTCATAATTAATATAGCCTCCTGTGTGTTATTTGGGGACTGCAGCTGTGGCAGAGCCCAGGCGGATGGCGGGAAGGCTGCACTCTACAGGAGATAATGTAGAAGGCACTGTGTATGCCCAGAGTCCCTCAGGGAGGAGCTGGGAGATGGCTCAGCAAGAGCTGGGGCCTAGAATCCTCCTCGGTAGGTGCCTGAGACCATGATTCACTAATGGAGTTCCTGATCAGAGACCTCCGGATGGGTGAGAGTGATGAGCAATGAGAGCACTGCTTAGCTTCCTTCAGTGGGGGTGCTGCTCAGCAGGAAAACGCTTGCCTCGAGTCTTCTAGCGGGGAGTTAGGGGAGGGTAGCCTGTGGCTGGCCCTGACCAACCTTCCACAAGGCAGGAGCAATCCCAGAAAGAGGCAGAGGGAATAAGACAGGGGCTCCCAACTGTACTCAAAGAACAAAGGAGAAAACCGGGCTTTGGTGGTACACACCTTTGATCCCAGCGCTTGGGAGGCAGAGGCAGGCGGATCTCTGTAGCCTGACTTACAGAGAGAGTTCCAGGACAGCCAGAGCTGTTACAGAGAGAAATCCTGTCTGCAAAAGACAAACCAATCCAAAACAAACTTTTTGCTGTGTGTTTGTGTGTCTCCGTGTGTGGTCCTGGTCTTGCTCTCTGCCTGCATTGAGACGGGGTCTTAGTCTCTGTGTCTGCCTCTCCCTCCAGGCTCTTTCCGGTTATTGCTCCGTTGCTGCCCACACGAGGCTAATCAACACAAGACTGGGGATTCTCCTGTCTTGTCTCCGTCCTCACAGCAGAGGCACTGGGGCTGCCCACATGGGCCGTGGTGATCCACACCCAGGCCTTCACGCTTGCACAAACAGTTATTTACCCACTGAGACACCTCCCAGCACCCCACGTCCTGCTTTCAACACCCACTCACCGGGATGAATCCACCCTGGGTGTCTTGGCAGTCACACTCAATTCTAGGCACGCACTTCTCTTTATCCAGCACGTAGCCAGGTTGGCAGACACAGCCCTCCTTGCAGGCGGAGGGGGCTTTGGTGCTGGCGCCCTCACAGCGGCCATCGGGGTCAGAGCAGGAAGGATGACAGGAGGGAAGGCAGTCTGTGTACTGGCTGTGGGCCGGGCACAGGAAAGCTATTGGGTTGAAGGAGAAGGGGTAGGGGAGAGAACAGAGGGGCCATAGAATACATAAGTCAAGCGAGCCTGGGCCTTTCGGCAAACATTCTCTGGCTGTGGGTTGGTTGCCAAGCCATGAGAGAAGTGAGACTGTGGGGATGTAACCACTCAGAGGCCAGCCCTGAGGAAGGGTCAGTCCTAGCTCAACATGGGTCACCAGGGCCTTTTCTTACTATGGTAGCTCTTATCCCTGAGCTTTGAGGCTCTGAGGACCAAGACCCTTCTCCGCCCACCTCTGATTTTCCCGTCCTTGAGCACACCCCGCCCACCTTCTCCACGGCCCCCTTACTGATTTTGACACAGTTACTGGTGCCATCATTGTTGTCCTTGCAGTGAGTCCCCGAGGGACACTGGAAGTTCCGGCACCTGATGGTCCCTCTCGTGCAGGCGCAGGTCTGGGTGCAGCCCCTGGAGGTCCAAGTCTTGCCTGCCTGCAGGAGCCAGGGCATGAGAAGCAAGCAGGGACTGAGCGGATGTTCCAGAAAGCCAGGCTCAGCCTCACGCCTGAGGGGTTCAGACACGCTCTCCCTATATTCAAGCCCCGTATCTACTCAGTCAAGCAAGCACCAGTAGAAGATATCTGATTTTTAAAAATGGCATTTGGGGCTGCAGTTTTGGTGCAGAGACACAAGGCCTGTGTAGCATTCCCCAGTGAAGTTCTAGGGGTGTGGCTGAGCAGTGCGTTGCTTGCCTAGAGTCACTCCTGCATGGCTCAGGGTTAGAAGGCTTGCCGACAGTCCAGGAGTACGATGCTGGGGCAAGGCTCATCGCCAGAGCTTTTGTCTGCTGTACAGCAGGCCCGGAGCATACGGGTCTTTACATTCCAGGGCCAGCCAAACAGACAGGAACATCCCAAGCAGAGAGATGCAGAGGGAAGGAGGAAGGCTACCCCAAACCCACTCTCCACACCCACTCACTGGGATGAAGGCACCCTGGGTATCTTTGCAGCCACAGTGAGTTCTGGGTACACACTTGTCCTTATTAAGCACAAAGCCAGGGTGACAGATGCAGCCTTCTTTGCAAGGGACTTTGGGGCTGGTGCCCTTGCAGTGGCCATCCAGGTTGGAGCAGGAAGGCAGACAGGGGGGAAGGCAGTCGGTATAGAGGGTGTGGACCGGGCATTGCAGAGCTATAGGGAGGAGGAGAGATGGGCTATTGGAGAGGTCCAGAGGGACCCAAGGAAGCAGAAACTACAGAAACTAGCTTGGGCTGGATAACAAACAGATCTGGGAACATTTCCTTCTCTTGTTATTCACTTAGCAACCATTTACTGAGTGTGGGCTATGTGCCAATCCCCTGGGAAAGAAGACGATGGGTCTCCCAAGTTAATGTGGGAGACTAATCATTTAGAGACAAACTGAAAAGGAACACAGCCCGGCCATGCATCCCCAGAGCCCTCTCTAGTGGCATTTCCTACCCTGCCTCTTAGGCCAAGAGACTCAGTGCTTCTTGCCTCGCCATTGGCCCCTCTAGTCACGGGCACTCTCTCCACCTTCCCCACGGCCCCCTTACTGATTTTGACACAGTTACTGCTGCCATCTTCATTGTCCTGGCACAGAGCCCCCGAGGGACACTGGAAGTTCTGGCACTCAATGATCCCTCCAATGCAGACACAGTTCTGGGTGCAGCTACTGGAGATCCAGTTCTTGCCTTCCTGCAGAAGCCGCGGAGGAGAAGGAAGTGACAGGGAGCCTCTGCTCCTGTTGACGGACTTGCCCTTCCAGTCCGCAAGTGTCACCTCTACTGAGTCATTACGTTCAAAAGTCTGCATCTGAGGATCTGTGTACCGTCCTCCAGCAAGTGGCTGGGGACACAGCTCAGGCCCTGACCAACTTCCAAGCACCATTGCCAGAGAGAAGTTCATCCCAGACAGAGAGAAGCAATGGAAAGGAAAAGGTGACCAGCAATCCTACTCTCTACACCACTCACCGGGACGAAGACGCCCTGCGCGTCTTTGCAGCCACAATGAGTTCTGAGCACACACTTGTCATTATTCAGCACGTAGCCGGGGTGACAGATGCAGCCCTCCTTGCAGGTGGCAGGGACTTTGTGGCCAGAGCCCTCACAGCGGCTGTCTGGATCCAAGCAGGAAGGTGGACAGGAGGGAAGGCAGTTTGTGTAGTGACTGTGAGCTGGGCACTCCAGAGCTATGAATTAGAGGGAGAATAGCATCATTTAAGAAGGCCAGAAGGGGGAAAAGCAAAGGCTGCAGAAACCAGGGTGGGTTAAATCGTCAACATAACTCGCCTTTATTATTCATGCCATATTGACTGAGTGTGGGCTGTGTGCTTCGCCCGAGGGAGTAAACAGACAAACAAATACATCAGGTTCTTTTAAGTTACTGTAGGGAACTAACCAGGTCAGTCACCAATAGCAAAGTGGCCTCCGTGTCCTCAGTCTTCCTATACTTACTAGTAGAGGACACAGCGTTGAGTGCCAGGTATAATGGGGCCACAGGGCAGGAAGGAGAAACTGTCAAAGAGTTTTAACAGGGTCTTTATGGATCTCAACATAAATCCAACCACACTGAAACTCTTAGAAGAGAAAGTGCGAGATACTCTTCAACGAGTTGGTACAGGAGACCACTTCCTGAACATAACACCAGTGGCACAGACACTGAGATGGACTGTTGGGCCCCAGCCCCATGGGGTCTCTGTGAGTTTGCTGGTCAGCCTACAAGGGCAACTTGTTTTCCAGTCCAAGTGCTTTCTGTTTTCTAGTCCTGGCTTACTGCCCTGGCCTTGACCCTCTGACATCAACATCCAGCAGGAGGAAAACAACGATCTCTTCTACCTGGGGTTTTTTTCCACTGTGCTGTAAACCTGTATAAAAAGCTCCTCCCTCCTACAAGGGAGAGACCTCTTAGCACTTGTAATGAAGACAGACACACACACACACTCTCTCCTGGCAATAAAGGCAGCACATGCATTCTCTTAGTACAAACAAATGGACGTCTTGTCTCTCTTTTCCTGATACCTTGGAGTTGCTTGTGGCGCTGGCGCCACAATTGGAGGTTCCACAATGGACAATTAACAAATGGGACCCCATGAAACTAAAAAGCTTCTGTAAGGCAAAGGACACAGTCAACAAGACAAAATGGCAGCCCACAGAATGGGAAAAGATATTCATCAACCCCACATCTGACAGAGGGCTGATCTCCAAAATTTACAAAGAACTCAAGAAGCAAGTCTCCAAAACACCAAAGGATCCAATTAAAAGGTGGGGTACAGAACTAAATAGAGAATTCTCAGTAGAGGAGGCTAAAATGACCAAGAGACACTTAAGAAAATGCTCAACATCCTTAGCCATCAGGGAAATGCAAATCAAAACAACTTTGAGATGCATCTTACTCCTGTCAGAATGGCTAAAATCAAAAACACCAAGACAATTTATGCTGGAGAGGATGTGGAGAGAGAGGAACACTCCTCCACTGCTGGTGGGAGTGCAAAGTCATACACCCACTTTGGAGATCAGTATGGAGATTCCTCCACTAGACCCAGCAATTCCACTCTTAGGCATATATCCAAAAGAGGCAAATTCATACAACAAGGGCATCTGCTCCACTATGTTCATAGCGGCATTATTTGTAATAGCCAGAACCTGGAAGCAACCTAGATGCCCCTCAACTGAAGAGTGGATAGAGAAAATGTGGTACATTTACACAATGAAGTATTACTCAGCAGAAAAAAACAACGGAATCTTGAAATTCGCAGGTAAATGGATGGCACTAGAAGAAACCATCCTGAGTGAGGTAACCCAGTCACGAAAAGACAAACATGGTATGTACTCTCTCATATATGGATTTTAGACATGGATCAGGATAGTGCCAGTCTGCACTTCCACTGACAGAGAGTCTGGGAAATATGAAAGAACCTAAGAGAGATATGCATGGTACCCCAGAGAAGAGGAATGCGGCAAGATCTCCTGAACAGATTGGGAACACGGCGAGAGGTTGGGGAGAGTGGGAGCTGGGAAGAAGAGAGGGGGGAGAAAAGGAAGAGAGAGTAGGTCATGGGGGAACAGGAAGGTTGAGTGGGGGGGGTAGAATAGGGGGAAGAGGGAATCATAGGTTAGAAGACAGATCAGGCACCATTGTGACCTCTAGTGATCTAAACGGATGACACCAACTGGCAAGCTAAGCAATAGTGGAGAGACCACCTCGAATGCCCATTCCTGATAATGAACTTGATGTCTATAACCACCCTGGAGCCTTCATCCAGTGACTGATGGAAGCAGACGCAAACACCCACAGTTAAATACTGAACAGAACCCAAGGAACCCAGCGGCAGAGAGAGAGGAGCAATGAGCAAATTGGCAAAGAATGGGCTGGCAAAACCAGCAGAGACAGCTGATCTGAACAGGGGAGAGCTCTTGGACCCCAGACTGACAGCTGGGAGGCCAGCACGGGACTGATCCAAACCCCCTGAGTGTGAGAGTCAGTGAGGAGGCCTGGGCAACCTATGGGGACCTGGGCAGTGGATCAGTGTTTATCCCTGACATACAAACGGACATCGTGTGTCCATAACACAAAGAGGGATGCTCTCTCAGCCTGGACTCTTAGGGGAGTGCCTGGACCCTGCCCTGAGTGAAATGACAGACTCTAGATATCCCCTATGTGGAAGGAAGTGGCAATAGGGTGGGAGGCTGGGGGGAATGGTAGGGGGTTGCGGGAAGAGGAGAGGGAGAGAGAACTGGGATTGACATGTGAAACAAGCTATTTAAAATTAAAATAATAAAATAAAATAAAAAAGAGGGTCTTTAAGAGAAACCACTAGGTATGGTGCCTCACAGCTGTACCACCAGTACAGAGGCAGGAGGATCCAGAGGCAAGGCTATCCTTGGCTATGTGATTTTAACAGCAGAGGGACAGCTCTGAAAAGGTGTCCGAGAGAACCAAGGTGCTTGCCATTGAGTCTGAGAACCTGACACAATGGAAGGAGAAAATTAACTTCCAAAAGCTGTTCTCTGACCTCCACATGTGTGCTGTTACATGCATGCACACACACACAAAATAAATGATGTAATAAACAAAGCAAAACAGAGAGTGACCAAATGAAATACATACTATGTTCATGGATAGGGAGAGTCAGCAATGTGCTGTTCATAACAGTTTTCCCTCAGTTAATTTCCCCCGCTCTTTCCCCAGCCCCTCACTGAGAGCTTCTAGGCCTGGCTGACTTAGCATGTATATTATATCAAATATCATAATCCATCTAGAGATGGTTGAAAGTATATTGGAGGGTTCTATATAGACTCCATGCCATTTTATTAAAGGGACTTAAGCATCCTCAGATGTCTCTACCCTTGAGGTTCCTGTACCCAATCAGATCCCTGCTGATATGGACAATTATTAATGACAAAACTAAAAAATTTTAATCATCCCTTACTTCACATTTTAAGATATCATACGTGTGTATGTGCGCGCGCGCGAGCGCGTGTGCATGTATAAAACATTAAGTGGATTAGGTAAGTTGTATTTATGTATTTATGCATTTATATTGTCATTGTTAGGTAAGTTGTATTTATGTATTTATGCATCTATATTGTCATTGTAACAATGACAATTAAAGAAAAAGAGGACACAAAATTTGAGAGGGAGCAAGGGCCCGGAACATGGAAGGGATAAAAGCGAGAAAGGGGAGTGGGAAAATGATGTAATTATACATTAACTTTTTTAAAAAGACAAAAAAAATGTTAGTCACGGTGGTGCACGCCTTTAATCCAAGTGCTGGGGAGGCAGAGGCAGAAGGATCTCTGTGAGTTCAAGGACAGCCAGGGCTACACAGTGAGACCCTGGCTCAAAAATACAAAAAAAGAAAAAAGTCAAAAGTTTAAAATTCTTCATAGTTTAAGTTCTGATATCTCAAAAAGTAAAACGTATAGCAGAAAGAAAGAAAAAAAAAAAACAAAAGCTGTTGTGGAATAAATAAGTGTCTTTGCCAAGGCACCTTCTGAGTGGTTTTCATTAGTAGCTGAATGGCCGATGGCTCAGCAGGAAGAAGTTAGGCGGGACTTCCGGGAAGAGAGAGAAGAGGACTAGAGTCCAGATGTGAGAGACACCAAGAAGCGCGAGATGGAAGAGAGGTAAAAAGCCATGTGGCAAAGTGCAGATTAACATAAATGGGCTGATTTCAGTTAGAAGAGCTAGTGGGGCAAGCCTGAGCTATAAGATGAGCTTTCACAATTAATCATTAATCTCCTTGTCATTTTTTGTGAGCTGGCATCCCAAAGAAAAACCCATCTGCAAAAACCAGAAAAGAACTACAGAAAATGTACGGACAGCTAAGGGTGTGGTCAGTTGGTAGACTGTGAAGTCCTGGGTTCCAGCCAGAGCTCATCATAAAACCAGGCACAGCGGTGCAAGTCGGTAATCCCGGTACTCTGCGGGCGGAGGCAGGAGGAGCAGGAGTTCCAGGTAATCCTTGGTACATAGGTTCAGGACAGAAATGTGCTGTATGAGACCCTGTCTCCTCCTCCTCCTCCTCCTCCTCCTCCTTCCCCTCCTCATCAATGTATAAAAAGAAGGCACCCAGTCTAACCGGAAGGGGCAAAGAACTTTCCAGGGATGAGTATGACGCTGTACAATGTGTGGCAAGTTCGTTTCTTTCTGGTGTGACCTGCATGCATATAAGAGGAAACAGAGCCAGGACAGTCTTCAGGGTCTCAAAGTCATAGCACAGAATTTAAACTCAACTGCAAAGGCAGCAACCAGGCAGGATAGTGATGGCAGTTCCTTTAGAAGAATAGCATTGGCAGGAGAGATGGAAGCCAGAGAGGAGCTAGAGATACAACTGAGAAAAGCCTTAGGTTTCATCCCTAATGGTACAATTTAATTCATAAAATTCTCATGTTAGCTACCTGGGAGATTTATCAGTCTATATGTGCTTTCCCACAAGCATGAAGACCCAAACCCCCAGAACCATGTGAAAACCAGGCATGGTGGACAGTGCTTGTAACTCCAGTGCCAGGGAGGCAGAGACCCTGGGGATCACCAGCCAGTCTGCCCTTGGGGGCAGAGGTCCTCCTGAGAGACCCTGTCTCAGAAAACAGAGCAGAGATCAGGATATAGCACAGCTGGTAAAATGTTTGCCATGCAAGCATAAGGGCCCACACGCTTCTTCTGTAGCACTCATAAAACCCAGGCATGGGGTTGGAGGCAGAGAGGCAGAGACAGACAGATCTGCTGGCAGCCATTCTAGCTAGTAACTGAGCTCCAGGTTCAGTGAGAGACATTATTTCAAAACATAAGGCAGGGAGATGACTAAGTAGTTGGGTGAGAGCACTTGCTGTTCTTCCAGAAGACTTCTCAGCAGCCCATCAGGTGACTCATAACCACCTAAAGTACTAGCACGGGCACACACACACACACAGACACACACAGACACACACACATATACACACATACACTGACACAGACACACACATACACACACACAGACACATACAGACACACACACATACACAGACACATACGCACACATACACACAGACACACACACACACAGACACAGACACACACATACACAGACATAGACACACACATACACACACATATACACACAGACACAGACACACAGACACACAGACACACAGACACATACAGACACACACACATACACAGACACATACGCACACATACACACACACAGACACATACAGCCACACACATACACAGACACATACACACACATACACACAGACACACACATACACACACAGACACACACACACAGACACATACACACACATACACAGACACAGACACACACATACACACACACAGACACACAGACACACATATGCACACAGACACAGACACAGACACACATACACACAGACACACACAGACACAGACACACACAGACACACATACACACACATACACACATATACACACAGACACACACACATACACACACAGACACACACATACATATACACACAGACACACACAGACACACACAGACACACATACATACACACAGACACACATACACACAGACACACACAGACACACAGACACACACACATACACACACATATACACATACAGACACACACACATACACACACATAACACACACAAATACACATACACATACACACGGACTCACACACATGCACACACATATACACACACACACATACACACAAATAATTTTTTTCCAAAAATAAGTCAGAGCAAGCTGGGTGTTGGTGGTACATGCCTTTAATCCCAGTGCTTGGGAGGTAGAGGCAGGAGGATCTCTGTGAGTTCAAGACCAGCCTGGACTACAGATCGAGTTCCACGACAGCCAGGGCTACACAGAGAAACCCTGTCTCAAGAAACCAAAAAAATAAATAAATAAGTCAGAGCAGGGTGTGATGGTGAATTCCTTTAGTCTCAGCACCCTGGAAGCGGAAGAAGAGGTAAGCGGATCTCTGAGAGTTGAAGGACAGCCTGGTCTACATGGATAGTTCTGGAAACCAGGATTACATAGTAAGATTCTGTCTTTTAAAAAAGTTAGAGAACAACTGAGACAGATGCATGACATCAAGTCTGGCTTTCACAGACATGCTTACACATATCACACACACAGACATGCTTACACATATCACACACACAGACATGCTTACACATATCACACACACAGACATGCTTACACATATCACACACACAGACATGCTTACACATATCACACACACAGACATGCTTACACATATCACACACAGACATGCTTACACATATCACACACACAGACATGCTTACACATATCACACACACAGACATGCTTACACATATCACACACACAGACATGCTTACACATATCACACACGCACAGACATGCTTACACATATCACATACGCACAGACATGCTTACACGTCCAAATACACATATCACACACACAGAGACATGCTTACACATCCAAATACACATATCACACATGCACAGACATGCTTACACATCCAAATACACATATCACACATGCACAGACATGCTTACACATCTAAATACACATATCACACATGCACAGACATGCTTACACATATCACACACATATCACACACACAGACATGCTTACACATCCAAACACACATATCACACACACAGACATGCTTACACATCCAAATACACATATCACACACATATCACACACACAGACATGCTTACACATCCAAACACATATCACACACACAGACATGCTTACACATCCAAACACACATCACACACACACAGACATGCTTACACATCTAAACACATATATCACACACACAGACATGCTTACACATCCAAACACACATATCACACACACAGACATGCTTACATTCTAAACACACATATCACACACACACACACAATATTTTTAGGTTATAGTGGAACACACCTATTACCCCAGTGTTCAGGAGGCAAAGGCAGGAGGACCTAGAGTTTAGGTCAGCTTAAGCTGCACAGAGATATGTGGGGTTTGGGAGTAGCTGTGGGTGACTACAGGGAGACTCACGGCAGAAGCTGCTGTTCCTCCAGATAGGTGGCTTGAGCCCCTGGTTCTGGCAGGCATCCTCGAAGGACTGCAGAGCCTCACAGAGGGCACGGAAGAGCTCTCTGAATTCACAGAAGTTGTTCATACATCCTAGGAGGAAGGGCTTGAGGGGCACCCGGGAAGCACACTGGGCCCAGGCTGGCCCCTGGAGCGCAGCTTGGCAGTTTGCTTGGGCTTTCTCGAAGTCCTCGGGCCTGCACTTCCCGTTCATGATCTCCTGCTGCTCCACGTGGATGCTCTGCTCTCCGATTTTCAGGCAGCTAGAACGGGAAGAGCAAGGGCTCAGAGAAGCTGGGCAGGGCGACGTAGCTACGCCTGTGATCTCAGAGAAGCTGGGCAGGGCGACAGCTACGCCTGTGATCCCGGTGCTGGCAGGGAGCAGGGCTGGAGGACCAGAAGTTCAGGGTTGAGGCTGGTGAGGCGGCTCAGCAGTCAAGCACTTGCCCCCGAGCCTCAGGACCTGTTTGCTCCCTGGGACCTACATAGTAGAGAGGGAGAGAGTGGACACATGCAAACTGTTCTCTGGCCTCCACGCATGCACCATGGCACGCGCACACACACGCACAGTCACAATTCATAAACTTAAATGTTTTAAGTTGCTCAAGGAGGCTGGAGAGATGGCTCAGGGGTTAAGAATTTGTTGCTCTTGCAGAGAGCAGTTCCCAGCACCCATGGGACAGTTCACAGGGATCCAATGCCTTTTTCTGATCACAGAGAGTACCAGGAACACATATGGTGCATATATACACATACAGGAAAACACTAATACACATAAAACACAATAAATGAATCTTTTTTAAAAAGTTGTCGGACTGTGGTGACGCACTTGGGAAGCAGAGGCAGGTGGATCTCTGTGAGTTGCAGGTCTACAGATTGAGCTCCAGAACAGCCAAGGCTACAAAAACAAACCCTGTCTCAAAATGAATGAATGAATGAATGAATGAAAGTTAGTTGTTCAAGGTCATCTTTAGCAACAGGTGAGTTTGAGGCTGTTGTGAAATAAGATTCTGCCTTAAACACACACACCATACATACACAATAGCAACAGGTACAATAAAATGGAGGTTGGGAATGCAGCTCAGGGGCAGGGCCCTGTGTAGCATGTCTGAGGCCCCTGTCTACAGAAAATGAAAGAAAGAAGCTAAGTGTGGTGGTGCACGCTTGCAATCCCAGCGTGAAGGAGCAATGGCGTGTTCAAGGCTAACCTGGTTAACCTATGAAGTCCTGGGCCAGCCAGGGCTGCACCATGAGACCCGGTCTTGAAAGGGCGGACAGGGAGAAGAGAGAGAGAAAGGAATGGAAGGGAGGAGGAGGAGGAGAGGCAGGAAGGTCGGGAAGAGCACTGCGCAGAGGGCCATTACCTTGGGTCGGTGTTCTTATCTTTCCAGCTGTCCATGAACTCCTGCTCATCCTGGGCCAGCTCATCACTGGGGGTCATGAGTTCATCCTCTTCTTCACCATTGAAATTCCCACACACGCCACAGACCTGGGAGGGCAGAGGGGAGGGGTTTTCAGGGCTAAAAGGGAAGCAAGGGATAAGTGTGGGGTTTTGTTTTGGTTTGGTTTGTTTTGGTGCTGGGATGAACCCCAGGGCTTTAGGTAGGTGTTCTACGGCTGAGTTGCAGCCCCTATTGCCTGTTCATTATTTTAATTTTTCTTTTTTCTTTTTTCTTTTTTTGGTTTTACGAGACAGGGTTTCTCTGTATTGTTTTGGAAGCTGCCAGTCCAGCCCGGCCTCGAACTCACAGAGATCTGCCTGCCTCTGCCTCCCGAGTGCTGGGATTAAAGGCGTGCGCCACCACTGCCTGGCTCATTATTTTAATTTTTATTCTTTGGAAACAGAGTCTCCTGTGGCCTATGCTGGCCTCAAACTTGATGTGTAGCTGAGGATGATCCTAAATTATTGATCTTTCTGCCTCTAACACCTAAGTGCAGGGATTACAGGCTTATACCACTTCAGTTTATGTACTGCAGGGATAGAACCTAGGGCTTCCTGGATAGTAGGTAGGCACTCTTCCAAAAGAAGTAAAACCTGGGGGCTGGAGAGATGGCTCAGAGGTTAAGAGCACTGACTGCTCTTCCAGGGGTCCTGAGTTCAGTTCCCAACAACCACATGGTGGCTCACATCTACAATTCAATCTGGTGCCCTCTTCTGGCATAAAGGTATACTTGCAGAGAGAGCACTCGTATACATTAAATAAATAAATTCCAATTTTTCTCTTTGAAGGTCCCAGGCAGAAATTCAAGGTCCTTATACAACTTAAATGTGCAGACTTTGTAGTCAACCTTGTTTGGCTGTGGTGTCAATGTGCCCCTAATGGGCGGTGCTTGATGCTTGCGAAGTCACTTCTCGACAGTCAGTCTAGTTCTTGAGACACGGTCTCTCTGGATGGCACGGAACATGCCACCCTCCATCCTTAGCCTCTCAAGTAATGGACTAGAGATGTGTGTGCACACACAGGCACGAAGGGCCTTTTTCATTGACGCATACTTGCCATACCTACATAGAAAGGAACATTCTTCCTTCTCCCTCTATTTTGGGGATGACCTCTTCCATGCGTTAGAACGGGATGCCACTGTATCCCCCAGAAGGTCACCTCCTCACCAGCACATCCAGATGTCTCCTCACCTTTCCCTGGGAGGATGCAGAGATTTTGATATCTAAGAAGCTGTTGCTCTCAAATTTGACTTGAACTTCATCCTTAATTGTGACAATGGTATAGACGTCTTCAGTCGTGATGTTGACTCCTGGGATCTGGGTCATGGCAGGAAGGGTGACCTGC